TAAGGAGAGAAGAGGCGAGAAGAGAAAAAAGAAGCGAAAAAAAAGAGGAGAGAAAGAAAGAGGAGAAAATTTCATCTAAAGATAAAGAATTGAGATGAGAAGAGAAGAGGTAAAGAGAAGAGGGAAAAGACGAAAAAATTATCAAGAAATTGATGAAGATGAGAAGAGATGAAAGAGAAGAAGAAGAGGAAGAAAAGGAAGAGAAGAGCAGAGAGAAAAATGTTGTTGGAAGAAGAGAGGAGAAAGAAAAAGGTGAAAAATTCATCGAAAATGATGAAGAAATGATGGAGGAATGAGAAGAGAAGAGAAGAAAGAGATAAAGAAAGAGAGATAGAGAAAAAAAACGATTGAAATTCATTGGAAGTGGCCTTCAATGAATTTCAATCGTTTTTACTTCCTGTCTCTTTCTTTATCTCTTTCTTCTCTTTCTTCAGCAGCCTTCTCTGGAACTGTGTTCTAGCACAAGTTGACCTTTTTCCTGGAAAAAGGTCAAGTTGTGCTAGCACAGTGTGCCAGAGTGGGCTGCTTATAGTCTACTAGTTTCCTCGGGCTTCTTTCACAGATCAATCCATCTTTTCATTGGAAGACGTTCTCTTTGAATTGATGTATCCGTCTTGGTGCAACAAGCTTTATTCAACCACTGGATGTATTTTTCTTCCGCCAATGGAAATCATTTTGTTAAAAGATTCACAGATAGAGTATTGGTTGATAATATGTATATAAACTTGCATCATCGAAATTCAATTATTAAACTACAATCATTAATTCACAACCAATTCAGCTCGTAAAAGTTTGAACCGATGATCCAACACGCTTGGAAGCAATCTGGATACCCAAAAGATTTAGAAATCTTTGAGCATCCAGAAAAAGTTATTTTTGATGTAGCATTTGAATGCTGTAGCCGAGATTATTGTAGAATTTCTGCTTTTATACAATGTTCTCATTGCCAGCAAGGTCTATGTGTTTTACATTTTTTTTAACGAATACCATTTTCATAATTTGGAAAATTAGCAGCTATTGTTACTTGTATCCCTACTTCCTTGCTGCCCTCTATCTAAATAAAACATTTTTTCCTGAAAAAATTCTAACATGTAGTAAGGTTCCATTGTCAGATGAAATTTTAATGTACTTTTTTTTATTTATTCGCTCAAGTGACTTTTGCCCAGTTGCCTTTCGTTCAATTGACCCTTGCTCAAATGCTTTTCGCTGAAATGACCCTAGACCGTTGATGCTCATGTTACTAAACATTTGTTTGAAAAAGTAATTGGAAACAAAGGTTTACGTAAAAATAAGACACGACTTTTGGTCACTCACAGAATCACATTCTTACCGCAAGCAGATGAAATATTTGTCTTGAGAGATGGAAAAATCTACCAAAGTGGAACATTTATGGCTAAATAGGGCGAATTGCTCAACTTGCATCAATATCAATATTCAATATCAGGTTGAACAAGAAGATGAAAATTTTGTTGAAGCTTCAGAGCTTGATAAAAGCTATCATTCACCCGATCCATATCTTCTGTTGACGCAGAGACTTCGGCCATTGCTATTGTCAAGCATCACACAATCGGCAAAGTCAATATAAAAAATCCTCTCAACAACCATAATACAGCTTTACGCTATATTGGGCACTTTTCAAACCATTTCATCTTGGCCAGTAAATTGGTGCTGTGTATTGCTGTTGTCGAAGGCTCACGGGGGATTCATGAACAAATTTTGTCACGTTTAATTCGAGAACCAATGTCATTCTTTGATTTCACACCTACGGGACGGATTTTGAACAGATTCACTAGGGATATCGAGGCAGCTGATACAGCAATGAGCTTTAGTAAACAGCAACTTCTAATGAGAGTATTTAATTCTATTACTGTAGTTATAATTATAATTAAGGAAGCACCATTCTTGGTAATAATGATCAATATTCTTGCTTTGGTTTATATTTTTATTCAGGTAAATATTTTTGTTATTTGAAACAATCCTTAAATGTTCACATCAAAACAGTAACTTATTTCTTGCTACTTAGAAGATATACAGTACAATTTCACGACAATTTTAAGAAGACAAATCGATGGAGTTACTCGTTAGTCCATTTTCTCACATTATGCTGAAACAGTTACAGGTTGAACTTCAATCAGAGCTTATCAAGAAACAGATCAATTCTCAGAAAAATTATTCAAATTGGGTTGATGTGAACACAGTGCATCTATGGCCAATCTTCCACTATTTGTTGGTTATTAATTTGACTAGAATTACTTGGTAATATTATTGTATAATACATATCATTGGAATAGAAATCAAGAATATAAACAATTGAATAGTTGAATTACGAGTTAAATAGCAATGAGAAAAATAAATTTTTAATAATTATTAATGGCAAGTAATTTTGAACTTCACCAATGTAGCTATAGACTTCAATATTGAGAAATTTGGGTACAACACTTCACAAAATTTTTGCATGTCTCGTCGCAGGTTTTGAATATCTTCGATTTTGGCCATCAAACGATAATGGTAATCGGAGGCGTCACATGGAGATTTACAAGCCATCTCCAAATATCGTTGCAACAGGTAAATGTAAGTGTATTGTTCTTGCCTGGGAAAGAAAAAAAATCAAAATGGTAAATTAACTAAAGTAAAATAACGTAAAATAAAGAAAAATTGGTAAAGTTTGATTTTTGTTGATCTAAATTCAAAAATTTCTCTGACCAAATGTTAACAAATTATTAGCTAGCATTATTAGAAATATTAACAGGACCGAAAATTGAGGATTCACTGAATTTGATCCATACAATCTAATTTTGATAGACTCAATAATTAATAAAATTTTACTCTAATAGATGCTCTCTTTGTCTTTCTTGTTGCTTGTTTTATGAATAATCTGATCATTTCATGGATAAAAAATGACGAAAAAATCTTTCAGACATTCTCGTTGATGATTATGGACTAGCAAAGTTATCGGTAATCTTAATTATAACCTTATGGATCCGCTGAATTGGAGATAAGGTAGATCTGGATTGAAGATAATGATTAAGTAAATAAGACATGCAACTGTTAAATCTTTTCGCCATCGATCTGGAAAAGTCTCAATAACACGAGTAAGTCCAATTAGTAAAGAAAGATCCTGGAAAACGTCGTTTCTAGCAAATCGTGAACCTGAACACTTGAAGACAATATTTAATGCAATTAATAACTTGTGAATCAAGTAATTATTTTATGAGTTTAAAATGAAACACAATTGGTTCTATCGATTAACTGATTAAAGTCAACTTACACTCCAACTGTCGGTTAGGTGATCATAAAGGAGAACACTTCTCAGTACCATTACATCCAAAAGTCCACTTGACAAGAGAGTGACTTTATCATCGTCTAGCAATCGCCTGAACCCCTTTACTCTTCTACATGCTTTAACAATGGTTTTTGGACCAACATCAGGAAAATTAGATCGTCCTTGTTTGATGGTAATGTTATTGTGAAAAGCAATATCATGAAAAGCCATCACAGCTTCTTGCATAGCAAGTGATTGAAATTCATTAAGAGCTGCTTTAGTAGCTAGCAACTCTGACTTCAAGCTTAGCGGTGTATAATAAGCCGCTAAAATTTTCTTTGCCACACTTGGTTTCCATGGTTCATCAACAAGTGAAGTATCCGTACACAGGGAAAGTGCTGGTTTAAAACCTGGGTCTATCGTGGGCAAAATAATAGATTTTTGATGTGTGCCAGAGCGAAGAAGCAGTGAAGGCCAAGTCTGGACTCTCTGAGAGTTATCAGAAGGTTCCATCAAATAATTACTGTTATGGGTTGAATAAAAAATTGTCTCGATTTGAAGAGAAGCATCAGAAGTATCAGTACTGTCAAACCTCCAATAATGTCACTTCGTGGGATTAGCGTTTTGGCTATTTTTACATAATTTCTAGGTGGAATAGCCTTTTTACGAATTTTATTTAACAAAAAAAATTAATTTTTAATTTAATTTTGAGATTTTTGATGTTTAATTGGGCAATTCGTATAATATACCCAATTAAAACCATTATTGAAGTCCTGCAAAATTTATTTAATTAAAAAACTGAATTAAATTAAATTGTTTAATTTCGTTACCATGACTCTGTGACATTTTGAGAGTGTGACATTATCGGAGGTTTGACAGTAGTGAGAAGAGATGAAGATTTTAAATGATCACTGGTGTACGAGGCCAAAAGCGGTCTAAGGCATCATACGATGAGCTACTTGTAAAATTGCTATTTTCACAATTTTGTGTGTTATTATTTAAGCAAATTTGGTTATTGTACTCCTGAAATGGTTCAATTTGATCGATCGAATTGAAGCTTGAAATTATATCACAATCGTTGTTTGCATTGACAGTACAACCAGTTCCATAGTCCATATGGTTTTGAGGTGTCTCATCGCCAGGTAAAAGTGAGTTCAATATGGATTCTAAATCACTTGAAGATAGAGATGTAAATGGTGGCAAAGACGTCATTTCTTCCACGCTTTCTTCCAACAAGGTATTTGTTTCAGTCGGCGGGGCAGATTGTTGAGCAAAATAATCCCAAGCATCATCCATGGTTTTATTTGAAATATTGACTAGTAAGAAAACGTAAAAACAAAACTAAGCACACTAAATCGTTGTAGTGTAATGATTTTCACCTGGTTGCATCTATGAACAGTTGAATAACTGAAAATTGTCATAAAGTTGACTAAGTTTTACCTCTACATTTAAAATGAGCATCGATAGTTAATTTATTAACCTCTATATTGACTTTCAACATTTGAAATCATGCAAAAATTTTTGCTAAAAAATGAACAAAATATAAAGATATTGATTCAGTAAGGAACTAGCACTAGGTGTCTCATTCATACACTGTTAATGTCTCAAACAAGCGAGCTTTACTTTATCATCTAACTTGGTTAATCTTTTAAGCTGCTAGTATCAGCAAACAAGAACTGAAGATTGATACAATGGAGAAGAAAAAAGCGTCAATCAAACGATGAAACAAATGAATTTTATATCTTGTTATTTCTTGAACAAGAAAAGTAGTAACTGCACACAATGGGGAACAAAAAATAGGAAAAGATGTTTGGATGGAAAAATGGAAATTGAATAAACAATGCAAACTATTAGAGCATTGGTGAATGGAAAAACGATGTCAACACATCATCGACCATATTTTTTAACTTGATTGACTGTCATGATCATGATTGATTATCACTAAGTTTCTAGAAGTAATAAAATCATGGTCATCATTTAATTCTTCTAGAACCCTTTCCATAGCCACCATTTCGACGCAAGAATGATCGATCGTAAAGTTTCGTCTTCACTGAGACGAGTAGGTAACAATCAATTGACATTCAAAAGACAAAAGTTCATAATGAAAGAATGGGCAAAAATGGGAGCAAAAAGCGTAACATTTGTGATGATTACGATAGTTGAGATGTTTTTTAAACCATGTTAGTCTATCTCAATGTCAAAAAGTAGAGCATGAGATTAAACAAGAGACGTTAACGGACTAACATATCCGGAATAAAAATGATAATGAACTTCAATCACAGATATGTTGACAATCGTTTATCTTAGAAATTCAATTTTTTTCGTAGCTCAAGGTACTAACAATAGCCAATGAATTAACCCATTCTACCCTTCACAATCAGTGTTAATCACTTTAATTCCGACATTTTATTTTAATTTCGAAGCATTAATTCACTAAACAATTCTGAGCTTAGCTTTCAACCTACAAACCAAATCTTTTTTGCATATTGACCATTGAGTTCCTGCAAACATTTTGCCAATAAATCTCTCATCAAATTCTCTAGAATGGCTTAATGGTTAGATATCGAAAAGTTATAGTGCTCTTGTGATTCAAGCGTCAAAATTTTCTGGTACTATTTACAGTTCCAAATCGAACCAAATTTTCTCTGACATACATTATTTGTATGTATTTAATGGCATTAAAATTTATCGACAAAAGGTTACGCCGCAGACAGATACTCAAGTAAACGCGAGTCCAGACACCGAGCCTGCTGCAGAATAGTGAATTCATTTGTTAATTGGTTCAAAGATTATTTAATACCTAAATAGCTTAAGCAGGGTCTCCAGAATTTTTCACTTTTTTATCTTTTAGAGTTAAGAACTCAACTTTTTTTTCGCAATAGAGTTTTAAATGCTGAGTTCAAAAATAAAAACTATTTTCATTTCAGATCAGCGGTTTCTGAGTTATTTGAGGTCAAAGTGCGCAACTTTCGAGGCCATTTAAGACCGGACTATGAATCTTATTTCTTTCTCACTTCGCCAATCAATAGATCTTGAAGAGGCCTATCGGATGTTATACAAAACTTTTCTGTATCTATCATAGTTTACGGTTAAAACTTCACCGAAAAAATTCGGACAACTTGGGCGCTTGGCCTTAGGTTTGATCGCAGAGGCATGATATTCAGTTTTTAGCCACACTACATAGAGGCGCAAAGATTAGATCGGAAACTTTTCCGATATCATTTATTTTTCATAGAAAAAAAGAGGCATGAAATCTGCAGTAATCCCATGTTAAAACCCATAGACAAAATTAAAACCTGATAAAAGAGGAAACCGAACGCTGAAAACGATTAAACTGAGTACGATAATGACTGTGGACCACATTAGAAAAGATGTCCGTCAACGGTTTTCAGTATAGAGCGTTCTAACGCTTTCACCTGTTTGCAGTGATAACTTACAGACATTTAATGCTACAGACCCCAGATTTGAGGTATAAGCATCTACATGACATGCGAAAAAATAATATCAATTTCTCAATGTCATTCAAGGTCATCCCGATTTTTGACCTCTAAATGACCTTGCAAAGTGCGCTCTGGAATGAGCACATTTTTTAAGACACGATTATCTTTGTTCCATATTGATTGGGTGTGCAGGTTATGTCACAGAGAGACTTAAATCGCAAAACAGGTGAAAGCGTTAGAACGCTCTATACTGAAAACCGTTGACGGATATCTTTTCTAATGTGGTCCACAGTCATTATCGTACTCAGTTTAATCGTTTTCAGCGTTCGGTTTCCTCTTTTATCAGGTTTTAATTTTGTCTATGGGTTTTAACATGGGATTACTGCAGATTTCATGCCTCTTTTTTTCTATGAAAAATAAATGATATCGGAAAAGTTTCCGATCTAATCTTTGCGCCTCTATGTAGTGTGGCTAAAAACTGAATATCATGCCTCTGCGATCAAACCTAAGGCCAAGCGCCCAAGTTGTCCGAATTTTTTCGGTGAAGTTTTAACCGTAAACTATGATAGATACAGAAAAGTTTTGTATAACATCCGATAGGCCTCTTCAAGATCTATTGATTGCCGAAGTGAGAAAGAAATAAGATTCATAGTCCGGTCTTAAATGGCCTCGAAAGTTGCGCACTTTGACCTCAAATAACTCAGAAACCGCTGATCTGAAATGAAAATAGTTTTTATTTTTGAACTCAGAATTTAAAACTCTATTGCGGAAAAAAGTTGAGTTCTTAACTCCAAAGATAAAAAAGTGAAAAATTCTGGAGACCCTCCTTTTAAATGTTAATCTTTCTGTTACTTTACCAATGCTTTCACCATTAACTGCGTAATAAATTGTACAATAATAAATTGAACTTAATGCAAATAAAATGAAAATGGAGAAACCATATTAAAAAATATCAAAAAAGACTTTAAATTAACTCAGAAATACGAGAATATATTAGTAGCAATAATATGGACAAAAACATGGCAAGTTATCGATATTTGAACAGCTAATCGATTCTCATTTTCGCAAAAAGAATTGATTCGTATTGATGACATCTCTAATCGTAACATATTGAGTTGGACTAAGCAGCTCAATGACGAAAGACAATCTGTGAATGGTGACGGTTCATTGCAAACGTCATCTGGTTATGATTTTCCTGAAAATTGAATGACTGAAATAAAAAATTGATTTCAACTTTATATTGATGGAAATCAAGTAATTTAGTTAAATCATATCCATCTCATGAGCTAACTCAACATGCTTTATCCAATGACACCTCTCTCATTCAAATCTTTACCAAGGGTTACGTTTACTTCCCTTGTTAGTGCTAGTGATCAATTATAAAATTCTATTGCTAATTAGTTAGTTTAAAACTAATTTTCATTATCACCACTACATGCATTATCGACCTTCTCTGACTCCAATTTTGTCTTGATAATGATTTTATTAGAACTGAATAAAGTAAATGATAAATACGAAAGTAAAAGACATAATATCTAATATTAATAATACAAGTTGAAATAGACATCAATACTCAATCAAATCTAATTTTAATCATTACCTGTTGTGTGACCTTTATCCAGTGTGTGCAAAATTTACTTTCGGTTCTATTACCTTTGAATGTCAGAATTGAGCTACAGAATCAAAAGAAAATGTTGATTGAATGTTTTTATCAACATTTGGAAAAATTAAGGCAACTTGCCCATCAATCAAATAGATTCATCAATTATAATGAATGTTACAATTTGTTGAAATGATTTTCAATAGAAATCAGTATTTAAACATAATTCTGCTCAAAATGAAATAATTTTCCTTCTATTGTACTTATTTGTACATTTTCTGCTGGCTTTTCCTTCAGCAGTTTACTTCATCCACTCTTTCGCTATCATGGAAACCTTCATCGAATCACCAAACTTCAAACGATTTCACTCTTATGTCAAGTTTTTTTGTGTCATTGGTTGTGCTGCTCAACTTTTAAATGCCACAGGCAACTATTTGGCATTCAAAGTTCGAAACGAAGTTTCATTTAAATATCCAGATTGTATTGAACTACCTGAAATAGACATTAGTTTGCCCTTGGCATCAGTATTGAACATTAGCCGACTTTATGAACGTTATCCTAAACAAATGGCTGAAGTTTGTTCTTATTTACATGAAGATGATGATCAATTTGATGCTTCAAAAATAACTGCCGATTCTTATCCTATTCTGTGTTCATGGGTACTCAAAAACGCTCGTCAAAGTTCCAATAGAATTGCTGAATTTATTACAGTTAAAGATATTGAAGAGTTGTCATTTGATGCGAGAACACAAATACATGGTCTTTGGATACAACATGATAATGATAACAACGTTTTAAACAAATATTGTTCATTAAAAAGATTTTTCTCTTCGAATAGTTTCCATATTCGTATCTCTTGTCTAAACAACTCTAAACCTTTACAAATTGAGGCACAAAACCTTTTCGCATCTGGCACTTCTTTTATTTCCGTGGGTAACATGATAAATGCTAAATACGGCTTTAAATTGTCCTCTTTCAACTCAAACATTGAACCTAATCCCATTTATTATACAACAATTCCTTACAGAGAAGATGGACTGGTTTTCAGCATAATTCAGTATCGAAAGATTGTAACAAGTTTACTTGAATATCCATATGAAACTAATTGCATTGATTATGATCGAGATTCGGCTCTTGCCGATTGTATCAATAACAGACTACTTGCTATGAAACCGCCTTCACTGTATCATGCTGCCGTCTTTCCTTTTGGTAAATATTCTGGTGCTTTACCATTCATCAATGATCAATCGAAAGCTTTGCCTGTTTATAAAGCATGTTATGAAACATTTCGTCTACCTCAATGTCAAAAGGTAGAGTACGAGACTAAACAAGAGATCTTAACGGACGAGGTATCGCAAAGTTATAGTGTTCTTGTGATTCAAGCGTCTAAATTTCCTGGTACTATTTACAGTTCTAAGTCACATCAAATATTCTCCGAATACATTATTTTTGTCGGGAGCATTTTGAGTATGTGGTTTGGTGTATCAATTATTGACAGATTGACCATTTCAATGGTAACTGGCATTAAAATTTATCGACAAAAGGTTACGCCGCAGACAGATACTCAAGTAAACACGAGTCCAGAGACTGAGCCTGCTGCAGAATAGGGAATTAATTTGTTAATTGGTTCAAAGATTATTTAATACCTAAATAGCTAAATAGCTAAATTTTGACTGTTACTCTTTCTGTTACTTTACCAATGCTTTCACCCTTAACTGCGTAATACACTGTAAATTGTATCATGATAAATTTAATTGAATGCAAATAAAATGAAAATTGATTTTGGAATGAATTGATTAACTCTGAAATATACTAACAATTGGAAGAAATTCAAATCTGTAAAATTGTCGGTAAAATGAGTTTATCCCGAGTTCACGAATGCTTACTAAATTTCAAAGCAATCATTTTACTCATTGAATTGAAATTCAAGGTAGAGGTACGATTTTTATTTGTTTATTTACGACTTTTTTGTTGAATTGTGTGTATATTTTATCCCACTAAACAACAATTTCCAGGTAAACATAAATATCTTATCCTGGAATTTTCCAGGTAATCAGTTAATTTTTCTTTAATTAATGAGTGTTTTTTTTGATTATTTTGCTTGTGAATTTAATGGGAAATGAGGAATCAACTCGAAAGATTTTGTCTTGGTAAATGATGAAGGTAAAGACTGGGGTGAAACAAGGAAATGATGGTTAAAGGTTAAGAAGACGAGTGATTGATTGCCTTTAACAATTAGCGTTAGAGCAATTTGAAGAATTAAGTTAATAATCTCAACACAGACATTTGATGATTTGTATTTGGTTTGTTTGCTTGATTTGGTTTCCTTTTTCTCTTCTCTGTAAAATCATGGAAAGTAAATTTGTCACCATTTCTGAATCAATGAAATGAAAAGTAATGTAAAGAGCAAAACGAATTCAACATGAAATTTAACAAACTCAAAAACAAAGGTAATTAAACAAATAATTGAAATGATTAATCAAAGATGACGACAATCCAACAATATGGACTTATGCAGATGGCTTTGTTATGACTTTCTTTTTCTCTGTTCTTGAATATGAATCCCATTCTGGTTTGATTACAGGTATTGATGGTGTATATAAAGATTTGCTTTGAAGGTGTGGTTGTTGATAATTCGGGTTCCTTTTATTTCTGTGAAGCTTGAAAACAAATGTTAAGTATGAGGAGAATGTTTGTTGACCCTTTTGCCATCGATCAATTTTAAGGTTGTTGATGTGTTTGTGTTTAAAGGCTTATCCATTTTTTTTACTGTTTGATGTTTTAATATTGATTGGTGTGTAATTGGATTGATTATAAACTAAATTCTTTTGGGTTCAATCATTGGAAATCAACACGTAATCAATTGGGCTTCAAGGTTTTGAGGATGGCCGAGACTTCTTCAGCAATGGCTTCCAATACAAATTCAAACTGGGCCTTTGATTTTACACTTCCACCGCGTTGATCACGAATGTGTTCCAGCGTGGCTGCGATGTCAATTTCCTTGGCTCCTAATAATAAAGAGAAAATAAATCGTAATTAAATATCTATAAAAAATCACATTTTTAATTATAAAGGAAGATATTTTGCCATTACAAAAATAATCAAAATTAATCAACTATTGCGCGCTTTAGTCAATTGGCGGCAAAGATTGAAGCATCTACTCTTTGATTGGCGGTTAAAAAGGATTGTTGCTTGATCATGTGATTTTCACATTGAGTAATCCGATATTCAAACGGTTTTTGATCATCAAAATTTTTCTTTGTTAATTTTATAATAAATTAATTTTTCTTCATCAATTTTTTTGAAATTGAAATGTTTGCTTAAATAATTTTGGCCATGCCACTTGCCGATCGTTGGGTTTATACAATTTATTGGGTAAGAGACATTCCTGTTTAGTAATATTGAATTGTCATTTCTGTTTTACTATCATTTTTATTTTGTCTTTTTTGTTCTTTTTTCTGTTATTTTTCCAGTTTCTGTTAATCACTTTTGTTGACTGTTGTCTCTTGTAAGTGCTTGCCTGTGATTCAGTTTTGTTCAAGTAATGTTCAACCAAAGGGAGATTGGATTTAGAGTCTGATAACGACTTTTTTCCTGAAAACAATTGTAAATGTAACTTAATTTACTGGGTAAGTGGTAAAGACATTTTCAATAGATTTGCCTCAAATTGATGCCAATTTTATCTTATGCTAGTTAATTGTTATGGAAGGTTACAATAAAATGAGCAACACTAGTAACTAATTTTTTTCCATTTGTGTATTCGTTACAATCATCAGTGAATTAAGGCTATATTTGGTTAGGCTAATTAATTAGCAGTTTTCTCAATGTATTTCTCCATCAGTGTGTTTTTGTAATTGATCATTGGTTTCTATTAGACCCTATTTTTATGTTATAATCATCTGATTGACTTACAAATTATAGATCTGTTTTCTTTCTTTATTTACAGGCACTTATTGCCAGCTGATTCGTAATCTTAATGCGACTACATGAACAAGACTGAAACCATTGTGTAAATTGGATCTTATTTATTTGAGTGGATATTTTGTGTCACAAAAATGTTATAATCTCTCTCTAAGAAACTGATAGTCAATTGGGAGAAATTCATTAAAGGTATTTCAACTGAACCTTGTACAATCAGAGTTATTCAAAAGATTTATGTACTGCCTTGGAATAGCCATGCTCTATGTTGAGTAAATAGCAAATAATGAAGTTTGAGGCTAATTGTCAATTGTAGAGAATTTGAGAGAGAAAAGTGAACAACAATCAATTCTGGTGACGAGTTATTATTAATATATTTATAGTTATTGTCGAAATAGATTTACTAAACTTATTAGATGAGAAATGAAGGAAAAGAAGGAAAGCGAAAAAGACTAACTGTGAAGGAGAAAATTGAGTAAAAATATTTGTTGCCATAACTGTTCAAAGCTAAACACCATTTTTCATATTTCCACTGCAATTTGAGAGCAATTTATAAGCTATTTGTCTTTTTTTTCCTGCAAGCTCAATCTAATAAATGTTCTACATTTTATATTAGATGCTGTCGAAGAATAGAACTACAGAAACATAATCATTATTATCATCAATGGAAAGGATGAAAAGAAAGAATTACTTGTTGAATGAAGGAAACTAAAATCTTCAGGAATGAATAAGAAGCCAGAGAAGGAGAAAAGGCTAAAGAATGGGAAACCAATCTGATACAATTTACGTATATTTTTTTCATTATTCAAAAAAAAGGTGGATGAATAGTGCTGGAAAGCCATCAACAAGCAGATTCTGAAGACCTAGTTATCTCCATCATCAGCAATGGTACCAACAATAAGAGGTTGGAAAGAAGTAAAAAGTAGGAGTAATAAGAATGATGATAAAGGTATTAAACTCGAAAACTGTTTTGTCAAGATACAATGGTGTCAACAACTGAACCAACAAAAGCATACTAAAGAAAGAAGGAAACTGAAAAGCAAAGAGTAAAGTCAAGTCAACATTCATGTGGCCAAAAAGAAAGAAAATGAAAGGCATGATGAAAGGAAAGATCTTTTGCTTCTCAAATTCACTTTTTCCATTTAGTGGATCAATGAAATATTCATAAGCAAGTCAAAGCAGAATCTTTTTGCTTATTTTCCATCAAGGTAATACTTACATGTTCATACTGAATGATTATGTACATGTGCATATAAACATTTTGCAGGGAAAATCTGTTTTTTTTTGTGCTGCTTCTTTCCAGCTTACAAAATGCTGTATCTAACTTGAAAAGGAGAGTGGGAATAGACGCAAAACTCGAGCCAAGTCAAGGAGCAAATGTCAAAATGAAATTGGAATCAGCTTTATATAAAGTTGGAATATTTCCCACACATTTACACATATGCTGGAGATTTAGCTATTAGACCGAATTTTCATGTGATGAGTTGAGTTTCAAGTGCTAATGGATCCATGAATAATAGAATCAATTCAACGAGACGAGATTTGCCGAGGGCAAGGAAGTCACAATTTGGATCAAGAAAAGAAGATGATATCGATAAAATAGTTAAACTCAAAATGATTATACCTGATGTATGTATGACTTGATATGCATATATTTATTTATAACATTTAATCATTCTTGCGTACTTTTTATCCACTCCATCAATTTGTATGTATAAAAATATACATTCAGAGTAAAAGGTAGCGAATGAGAGAGAAAAAAGAACGACGTAAAAAGATATATTTCAGGAATTATTAGTATTATTGTTATTATTACAGCATATATGTATTGAATAAGCCTATTAGCATTGAATATATCAGAATTGCATACATTTTTATGCTTTATTTTTTCTCCTTCTTTGTGCATATATATTAATGCTTTTATTTTAATGTAATAAGATTTTTTGTTTCTCCATTTTCCTCTTCATAGGTTCATAAGTTGCTGTTAAGCTTTTATATTATTCTCAATCTAATGTGTGACAAGGACCTGAAAAGAGGGAATGGAAAGACCAGGGTGGAAAGCTAATGTTTAATATTATGATCTTGATGATGTTTCTTTAATACATCAAGTTCAAGTTTATCTTCTCCATGAAATATGGAATAAATAAAGGCTGGAAATGTGGTAAGCTTAATAAATTACATTCTTTTCCTCTTCTATTTAACCTTTTCTGTATACAGTATCAATCGCTTTAATTTCAGCCTTATGGAAATTACATTTGGATGGGAAAAAGTTGCTTGTTCATATGCCATAATTATATTTCCCTGACACAATTTCAATTCTAATTGTTAAATATATCAGTAGAAAAGGTAATAGAGCATGAAATGTAAATATTGTTACCTTTATATTCTTAACCCAAAGTTAAATTGACTTTTAGAATGGAAAGAAAAAAATTCTATTAATTTCAACTTTATTTCTTTACATTTAGATTGTGATGATATCATCTCTACATTTACTGACGAGAAGCTCATCGATTTCATGGAACAATGCAAACTGACAATGGCGAAAAGCAAAAGAAATGTTATTCAACTTTAATTTTTCAATCAAAATTGATTGAAATTTCCATCGATCTTTATTGATTATGAATATATTCATATGTTATCATTAGTCACCAAATAGGTCTAAAATTGAGCTATTGATCAACATTCACCAAGTTTATCTATATCAATTGACTTGTAATGTATTGACTGAATCTTCTATCTCATCCTGATGTTTCCATTACCTTCAATATTTATCTTGCTTCCTTCCCTGCCATCATTATCATCATCTTTCACATCATCATTCAGATAGACTCTTAAGATCATAAGTTTCACCTAATAATTAATGATAATTGATAATACATTGACTGAAGCTCAACTTTTTCACTTCTAACCATTACTGACATTCACTTAAGTTACTTTTTATTTATCTTGACCTTACTCGAACAGGTTTCATTTCATCATCTTACAGTTTTCCAACTTCACCATTATCATCATCTTTCATTCAAAAATTTTTCTCTCTTCTCAAATAACATGGATTCTAACCTATCAAAGAACGGTATTGATCTTGTTTGGAAAAGTGTTTGCGTCTCTGTTCACTAATTCTGATACAGATTAGAAGACAAAATTCAAAAGTTCTATAATCAGTTTATCCTTCCTTTATTATTTCACTCCATCTCTTGACCTGATAACTTGAGTTATTATGTATTTCCTTCATCTAATCATTTTCTTTTCTTTTTTCATCATCACAGTTATGGCAGAAAGAGTTTCACGGATCAATGAAGCATATTGAAAAATACCTGTTGATACAAAATAAAGACGATTCATTTCTTCACCTTTCATAAACAGACTAAACAAGGCTGATGTATAGCTTCATCGGGAAAACATATTTTGCCGAGAAAAAAATTCTTCATCCTGACAATCATGAAAAGACAATTTAGTTGAGAAACAATTGTTTATTGAAGTGATTTGAAGTGGCAAGATGAAAAGTTGAGGAAAATTGTTCACTATTGTTACCAATGGTTACAAAACTGGTTAAATAATAGAGAATGAATTTGGATGAACAAGATTCTGTTGATGAAAGGAATCTGCAAATACTGAAAGCGACCATGAAAATCTCACAGGAGATTAGATAAAATGTATTATAACGACGTTACAAGACAAAAAATAAGAGATGAAAAAGAAAAAAATTGGGTAAGTAAACCTGGAATCTTGAAGATTAGGGCAATGTTTACTCCTACATTTTACCTTCTCTTTTATCTTCATCTTCCTCATCTTATTTCTGTTTTTTTCTCTCTCTCTTTCCATAGTTTCACTCATCTTTTCTGCATCAATCCCTTCACGTCTTTGTTAGAAGTTAAGCAAGAGGAAAAGGTAGGCTTGTTAAACAGGAATTAAATCGATTCTCAAAGAAAATCTAAGCTACCGTAAATGGAACAATTTTTTATACTTTTTTGGACAAAGAAAAACAATCCCTTCGTGTGTTTTGATGCAAAGGAAAAATCAAAGTAAAGGATTCAAGAAAATGGAAAAGATTTACTCTTTTAAACAAAAGCAAATGATAAGAAGAAGAGTGTTCTGAAGATGAACAATGGTTAATGGGGAAGCAGATAATCTGAAAGCTGTTCTTCTCTCTCTTTCTCTCTTCAGTTTCAAATGAACAATTTTGCTGAAAACTCGAGCTCATTTCGCTATAAGTGAGCGTGTGTTTGTGTATTTATGTGGATGGAAGCAAAACAAAAGATCTTTCCTTTTAATTGAAACATTAAAATCGACTTGAATAGCTTGTAACATCTTGGGTAACAAGCATAAGCTTCTTAAGATAATCTGTTTTTAATTATTAGCTAATTATTTACAAACCCACCCAATTTGGATGCACATTTGGATTGTATTGATATAATCATCGTTTCTGTTGATGCTTGTATTTCAACCAATTAAACGAGTTGACAGAATCACATGCAACATTACTAACAGTTGCCATCTTGAATGGGTCTAAAATTAATCATGTTATTAATTTTTATTCATCCAAAAGCTGAATCAATTTACAGCTTAAACATGTTATAATTATTTATTGTAGTCTTATCTATTGATTCTGTTTTAATTAATCAATCCAAGTGCAAGCCAACATAATAAATCCCTTTTACAGAACCTTTTTACCAACCTTTGATTCCCAACTCTCTGCCTATTTTACCTTATTACTGCTCTTTCTGGTTCTTGTAGTGACAAATTTTCATCAACTTTAACAGCTATCACTTTAATGATAGATTAAATTAGATTCATTTGATATTAATACTGCTGGTAAAACTGTTAAATAAACAATTTAGAAACATTGATAATATTTCAATAAAATGACTTTGGCACTTTTTTGCTTCTGCCACAACTTGTAATATGCTTGGGTTCAAACTATACTACCACATAAACTGTAATTTGATTGACTATTTAATATTGATTCTTTCTCTCTTTTTCACCAGATTTTCACTTTTACGATGAAATAAAACTTACGTCAGGGAATCATTAAAACATAAATGATTGGTTATCTCAACTTTTATGGTGTAAAAACAGTGTTTAACAACTTGCTTTTATGGGACCAAAACTCTGAGATTTAGGAAACATTAAACAACAACAAGACCAATACCAGTAAATATCAACAATAAGTGAATGGATATCCAACAAGGAAGCTCATGGTAATATTGTTAAATGTGTTACTCTCTTCCTGATTTTAGGAATCAAATGATATCTTCCCTGATTTAAGATGCGGATTCAAAGTTGAATTGGCTGTTACAATATGTTCATTGATGAGCCTAACAAGACATTAGCAAGCAAAAGCCATCTAACCAAAGCTAACAGATTCCAGTGTTTGTACCCTTAATCAATAAACAAACTCACATCAGGATGATAATTGTGTTAAATAATGCAATCAATTCTCATTCCAAGTATGATCACGATGTAATCTAATTTGTGAGTCTTTCCTTCAACTTGTTACCCTTTTCACTCTTACTTATCCATTCCTTTCCATGCAACACCTTCCATCACCTTTCACTTTCCTCTCATTCACCTATTACCAAATTCAAGACAACAACAAAAAAAGAGATCTTTGAAAAGTCATAGAAATAACTTGTTGGATTTCCTTTTCATTTTGCCTTCTTTTACTCAATAGTATTACATGTTCATTTATTCATTGAGAAGTCGTATACTCAGTCAATAATGAAGTCAACTTTAAATTGATTTTGACTAGTAAAATGTCATCAACATTGACAAATACCAAGAGTTGCTGTGAGAGAGAAAAAAAAGTCAGCCTACAAAAAGTATAACCAAAAAAGTAATTTGATAATAATGAAGTTAACAATGTGAAAGGTTGAAAAAAAAGGTTATCATTAAAACTAGAGATAATTACATAGCTAGTTTACTAATTGCAATTCCTATGGATCAGAGTATTCAATGTTGAAATTGTTATTCAGGAATTTGGCTGAGCAATAAGTTATTGTCTGTTAAAACCCGTGAATTTCACATCATTAATATTAATAGATTCAATAAAAGGTAAATTATATGAATTTTGTTGGGTTATTTTCATTCTCAGCATAATCTTGGAGTTATTTTCAGCTAATAGTAAATCCTTTAATGTACAAACCATATTGAATCAATGTCAAGATATTTTTAGATTATATCATTTGTCCATTCTAATTGTTGCTCAATTTTTTCTCTCTTTTTCTGGACAGTAAACGCCAATTATCATAATTCACAAGTCAAGATAAGCCTGGAACTTGGATGATTGATTATGGATGCAGTAATTATGGATTAAAGGCAAATTGCACTTCTATTATTGGCCAATGAAGAGTATTTCTTGATATAGATGCTGGCTATTTTCTTGGATCAAACTTCATTTTCTTCTGCAGATATTCAGTCCAATTATCTGTACAAATTGTGACTCTTCATCTTTAATCTAATTCAAACCAGATTGTTTAACCTGAAACGAGCTACTTTTCCAGTTGTAAATCAAGGCTAAGTAATGTCAAAAGGGTTCGCTTGGTTAAATGACAATCTGGTGACAAGAAATGGTGAAACATCGATACAGCAAACTGGCTTTTCAAATGTTTAATGGAGATAAAATTCCGAGTCCAGTTGATATGGACTTGAAAGAATTGTTGATTATATTATTCACAGACCAGGCAAATACCACATTTAGTTGAATCTGTACATGTCCATCATTACCAGTAACAGACATTTAGTCAATTGGGTTAGCTCAAGTTGATCTTGACTGTTCTTTCATGATAAATGTTAAATTGATGGAAAACACAGAAAAGGGTAAATTATTCGTTTTGATGAACACAATTGACAGTTATAAAGAAATGTAAATGTTTCAATTGAACCCATTTTTACAACCTTTTGCTTCACTTGTTGCATTTACTTTCTAAATTTAACCAACAAGATTGGATAAGCAAATACAAAAGGCAAAAGTATTCGATTGAATGTACCCAAAATCACATTGAAAATGATGAAGCAAGATAGATAAATTGACGGAATAAGTCAACTAAAAAGACAAATAAAATTGAATCATTAAAACAGAAGCAGAATAGACGAGAAAATAAGACAAAAAAACATTCAAATTGTATCAGAAAAGTTAATGTTTGATCAAAAATGAATAGGGAATCAACTAGTAGTAATCAACTTTGTGAATAAATTTAGCTCTTTCACCAACCATGGAAAGGTAACAAAAACCTAAACAGTAAATTGATTCATTTCAATGTGATTGATAGCAACAAATTTTTGCAACATCAATCTAACAGTTGTTAATGGTGGTTAAAAAAAGCACCAACAAAAAGTGAGACAAAATTAGTTTCCTGATTAATCTTTTCATGTGAAAAATTGAACAGCTTTTTTGCTTATAAATTTATGAGTTTTGTATCAATTTTTAATGTTATTATATTTTTGTTTCCAGTGAAGACAACATTCGATTCATAGCTGTTGTAACAATATTATCAGCTATCAGCATGAAAATGGATTAATCAATGAATGTCGAAGCAAAAAGGAATGAACAAGAAAAAAGAGAAAAATGTTTCCAATTTTTGCTCTTATGGAGTTAACATAAAGACAACCTACCTTTGGCTAATCGATTTAGGACCATGTCAATTAGACAATAGGTACCCGTTCGACCTATTCCATCACTGGTTATTCATCATTATTGTGAAAATGGTTTTCATGATGACCCAAAAGGCAAGGAACCACGAATAAGGAAAAAGAAGAAAGAAAATAAAAATCAATATCAACATTAATCGATTGTTTTTTTTCAGTTTTCCAGTGAGTAACTTTTTTCTGCCATTGTTTTCATGCTTTACTCTGACATTTCTTGTCTTTTGTTTCATTCATTTCATTTTTTTTCTCTGTCTTTTTATTTCCTGTAGACATTCAACATTTCAAGGGTTATATCTTACCTGCAGTGTACAACAATTGGACATGATCGACCTCGGTATGACTTGTTGACTTTCCTGTGGAAAAATTAAAGCAACAAAGTGAAGATGTAAAGATACAAAAACGCATGGAAGGATAATAGGATAATGAAGGAAAAAGGGAAGCAAAATAAAGAGGAAAAAGATAAACGACAGAAAGTTTTATATCACCACTATCATCATCATTATTTATTTCATTTTGTTTATTATCATTGAGTTATTAGATAATCTAAATAGCATTATCAGTGCCATTTGAGAAGTTATTACTTCCAAGTTTGGTATCAAGAAAAGTAAATGATGAGGAAAAGTAAATGTATATGAAATTAGTTGCAAGTTGTAGGTTGCTTGTTGCTCTCTTTTTTTTGGGCATATTTTTACCTTCTCTTCGCTCTTCGATATTCTGATTATTAATAGAACAGGAAATTATTTTGAGATATTTTTTGATCTACATGGACATATCCGAATTATTCATTGGTGGATAAAAATCGATAATGGCGATTGAATTCATTTTTTTCTTCTTTTCTCTTTGTTTCTCTTTTTTCTTCCTGTCCTGTCTCATTCTGATTGGCAGTTCTATTCAGGTTTGACTAGGGCTTTGTTTTTACAGATTTTGTTGAAAAGATATAATATTAACATGATTATCATAAATATCCAAGTTATACATTTATATTAACACATGAGAATGGGATTGTTGACAGTGAAATGGACACGAATGAACACTTTTTATTCTGTGAAAAGTGTCTATGACTTGGATTAATATCTATGGTAATATCGATAATAATAATGATGATTATGATGATATAAATTCATTCTGTTTTCCCATTCAATAAGATGTTTCTAGTATCATCTGTTTATGTTTCCGGATTTGGTTTGACAGTTTTTTTGTCTTCAATGAAATGGTGATGAAGATGGATGGTGTAGATTAGTGGTGGTTAGTGATGAGAGTAGAGTTGATGATCATTCCGCTACCATCACTTTTGTGACTATGCAATTAGTAGGTTATTTTATGGCGAAATTGCACCACTCACAAAAATGATGAAAGAAAAATGATTGAAATGTTATCATTGGTGGTATTTAAATGTTCAACTAATGCTATTGCACTCTTGTTTTCCCAATTTGTTTTTGCTTCGCTTTTACCTTCTTTTGTTCATTTAACTGAATCAGTTTTATAATTTATATACATTATTCAATATTAATTTGAATCTTTTTGTTCTTCTTCACAGATTACTTGAAAGAAGACCCATGAGATTGGATAAAAAATAATGGTTCAACTTTGCTCTTACCTTCGAAACTCTAGTAGTGATCTTGCATTGGGTGGAACACCATTCTCAGGCCAGGAAAGATAATGAAATTGGGTTACAGTTCGAGTTTCATTGGTTTTTATGTTTTTCAGGAAGAAGGAGCGAACCAGATAATCATCGCACCAAATGTGCTCAGAAACAAGGTGAACCTCAAAGTTGGAATGCAAAGCTGAACCCTCTTCAGGCCAGTAGCGAGCTGATGAGGCGACACCATTTTCAAGTAGACGAGTTAACATTACAATTATGACTGATCCCTGTTCCCAAACCATTTGCCAAAAGTCTGCAACAGTTGAAGGCATTGGTCCTTGAGTGACAATGTAAACTGGTGAACGAGGATCATGGTCTGTTATGGTGGAAGCGTTAATGTAATCAGATCGATTTGAATTGGCTAGATCATTAAGAATGACCCGGGAATGGTCAAAGGGAAGTACATCTGCGTAACGATTTTTGGATGCATTTTGAGGTAAAAGTGCTGCTGTGGTTGAACATGGATCTACTTCGTATGCACAGAGAGCTTCCCATTCCTTTGCCAGACGATCTTTATTTTTCAAGTGATCTTCCATGTAACTCAAAATCATGTGACCAGTTGATATGTCAAGATTGGAAGTAATTGGTTCTTCACTCCTTTCATGAGAAAAATTAAAAAGTGAAAAGAAAAGAATGAATATCAGTCTCAACAACATGGTTTCGCAGTTTATGCTTTCTAAGCGTTCAATTGAAAGCCAATTATTAGCCGTTAACTTTGATTTAACTACAATGTTGCCTAAACATGTATGTTTCCTTTTTCAAATGGATGTTACCATTTAGCAAATCATGTTTAATTGCTGCTTAAGCTTTAAATGCTAAACCAGAATCGATCAGAAATGGTTCATGATTATACACTTAAAAGGGTCGTTTATACGAGATTTGAAGCTACAAACCAAGTCTATATATCGTGCTTGAACTATTTTACATCTGATTGTCCATGATATGATCACGCAAAGAAAAGATTGAAATCAAAATGATGACAATAAGTGAACGGACCAAGATTAGTAAATGAGTCAGATTGAGCAATTTCATCAAACTGTATTGATTAATTGAAATACAACTAGGAAAACAAATGAAGAAGCAAAAAGGCAACAATTAAGGGCAACATGTTCCAATGAAAGACTATTCAATGTTTGACCAAGAATCATCATTGATTTATTATACACCATTTTGATGACCATTGAATGTAAACACAGCAAAATATACACAAATAAGATGGAGAAAGAGTAATAGGAATGGAAAAAAGCAAAAGAAAGCTAAAAATGAAAATGTTGTACAATTTTGATAATGGACAATCAAAAGAGAGTAACAATCAAGTTAACAACAATGATGATAAACAAAACAATGACAATACGAATAAATCTTGGAGCAAATTAAGTGGAAGTCGTTTCATTGGTCATTTCAGGGCAAGAAAACTGATTCATCTGAATGAGCTAAAAATGATGTTTTCTTAAACAAGTTGAAGGGCAGGAAAAAATGACAAGCAAAGTAAAAGATGATCACAAAGATGATCAAAATGACGATCAAAATGATGACCGATGAATGAATGGGCAAGAAAGAAAGATAATAAAAAAGGAAGAAAATAATGATTACAAGAAGAGAGACGAAAAACGAAAAGTATTAAACTATTTTGTATCAACATTCACATTTGCTATTATTATGAGTGTCTCATTGCATCTACAAACGTTAACAGATCCGAGTTTGAACAAAAAAGGTATTATCTATTGAAATCTCATGAGAACGGAATAGAAGCAGTGGAACTTTGTTAAGGAAAGAAGAAGGAAAAAAAATGATAAAATATTCTTTTGTAAGAAAAACCATATTCTTATACTTGTCTTCCTTCAATCATCATCTTATTCTAGCAACACAATAATTCCATTTTCAGAAATGTTTTTATTCATTTACCTCTTTAAGTTTCCTGATAAAGAGTAGAGTAAAAGAGAGAAGAAAAAAAACTCCATATTGTTATCGAAATGCAAAACTAATAACTTTTATTTGTCTTTGATTCATCAGCATTCTTCATTCTCTTATTCATTATCAGTGAATTTTTCCATACATAGCATTATATAACATTACCATTCATTATTTGCCTTTAATTTCACAGGTTCACCTTTAAACCCGAGAATGATAATGATGTTGAAAAGTTGAAACTTGAAATTTGTTGCATCTATTCATTCATGAATCTTTTCATGATTCTTCAAGTCAATTGAAATTTTGACATTTTTCTCTCCATTTCATTGATAAGGAAACGGAAATTTGAAGTTGGCTTGAAATTTTCTTCCCTTTTCCAACTTAATGCCTTTACTTGTTCAACAAAAATGTTCAATTGTCTGGTTCAGAGGAACAACCTATAACTCGGAGTGATTATCGTGTTGATAAAGTTTAATGACTTCGAGTTGCAGCTTGAGTAAATCTCTTCAATCAACCATGAATAAGAATTCGAACAAATGGTGAAGATTAAATTTTTTCGACTTTTTTTTCTCTCCACTCAAAGTTGATTAATGGAATATAAGGAAAAGAAGATGAAAAGGTTGCAATGATAATGCAAGAATTTTCTATTCTTTCCAATAATTTTCTCTAAAAATTCAAGGTTACAATTTCATGTAAGCTGGACGCAACTTGAGAATATTTTTTTTGGAAATTTCTTTTTCCATTGAAAATAAAGTTTCACTGGGAGTTACAAGGACTCGTATCATGTTTCAGTCTAAATTGTATTGAAATGATTTTCATTTTCATCTTGAATAAACTCTTGAGAATGGTTTGCTTTTTGATGATAAAATAACTAGATATTTATATTTAATCAAACGTTATTTTTACTGAAGAAGAAAAAACTGAAATTTCAATTCAACTGGGAGTTTATTTTATCATTTTTGAGGTTATCTCATTGAATAAGATGGATGAAGTTTTTCTTTGGATAAGTTTTTTTTTCTCCATTTTCAATGGAATCAGCAGATGGTGAGAAAAGGTTAAATTGTTCACTTACCATGAAGAGGTTGATGATCTTGATGGTGGTGAGGGTTCTGGTCCAGAATCGATTGATTTACTGTCAGTTCCAGTTTTGCCCGTTTTAACATCACAATTGTTATTGTTTGAACCAGAGGAAGCTGTTTTACCCTTTGAACCAGGCGAACTGCTTTCATCTTTATCAGATTTCTTGCGATTTTTACCTTGCATCCGTTGACGACAAAGGTCCTAAAATTGAACAAAAGTAAATTTTAAAATTAAGAGCAAAAATGCAACATCTAACATTGAATAAAATGACTCAAAATTTGTCATATAATAATAAAGAAACAAATCATTTGGCAAGTCTCATTGACTTTGCTAGTTATAAACCTTCATTGCTCTTTAACATTGAATGAAAATTTCCAAATTTCGAATAGAATCTGTTGAAGGGATTTTTTACTCCCAGTCATTTATTTATTATCAAGACTTGTATTTACCTCATAATCGGATGCAGTTTCATTTCCTTCTTCAGCTGAACCAATTGAACCAATTAGATTACGTAGTTTTGATCGTAAATTTTGATTCCTTCGGATAACAAACAAAACCAGTCCAGCAATGAGAGCAGCAAACACGGTTAAACATAATGAGACTGTGAGCACAGTCAACGATTGGGAAGATTGACTTTCAAGGTTTGGATAGCCAGGTAAAGATGAAGATGAAGGTAAAGATGATAATGAAGGTGAAGTAACAAATCGTTTTTTAACCTGATTGAAGAGAGTAAAAGAAGAAGAAGAGGAAAAAAGCAAGTCAGACCAATGTTGGTTAAATGAGAATGACAAGGAAAAGAAAAGAAATTAGAAATAAAACAAATTGAACGTTTAAAGTGAAGTGAAACAAATTACAATTGATAATCAATCATGATGATTTGAGGAATGATTTGTTGAATTAATTGAAAATGAAAGGTAAAAGATGCAAGAATTGATCACTAAATAATGAGAAGGCAAAAGATGAGTAACAGTGGAAACAGTTGTAACAATAATTGAATAATGTTGTTTACCGAGTGAAGGTTGAAGACATATTGGTAGATGAAAGCAACTGCACAAGTCTCTTTATGCCATTTCAACGCCAAATCATCAACTTATCCTTCCTTTGGAACAACAATCAAAACAACTTGAAACTGTAACCCATGGTTACATGGAATCAATCATACTCTCTGAGCCTCTCATTTTCATCATCATTCTCATCATCATCTTCCATGCTTATAAAATAACTGTGCAATGAAAATGCTACAGGTTTTCTTTTCTTCCCTTTTCTTCCCTTTTTTCACATATTTCACCTTTTCATCCTCATCTTTACCCTCCTCAACATGCTCTTTTCCTCCATCTTCCTCCATCTTCACCATCTTCATCTTGATCATCTTTTCCACTTCCCTTTACCTTCTCCATCTCATCATCATCCTTTGGGAAGCTTAAGTTTCCAACATTTTTTGCTTTTTCCATTTTCTCATCTCTTTTTTGATTTAGCCTCTGATTTTTTTTCCTCATCTATCTTCTTCTCTTACACATTACTCTTTCCTCTTAATCTTCATCTTTCTCTATATTTCATCATTTTCCTTCTTCTTCTTCTTCTTTCTCCAAATTTTTCTTCCCTTTTCTTACTTTGCCTAATTTTATTTCATCTAATCCTATCCTTTATGATTATCATTGTGAATATTATTTGTTGCCTTCCCTTCACCTTCCCTTGTTTCACGACAATGCTCCTTGAATCCCATTAAACTTGTTTAATTTCATCAACTTTAATGGTTTAAGTAAAACAAATGTTTTAAATGTCAAATCTATTAAACAATTTGCTCTTCATTTTTTAATTGATCCAGACTTGATTACTTTGATTAAGTTACAAATAATCCATTGGAAGCAAAATCCTTTAGTCAATTTGTAATTTGATAATAATGTTCTTCTTTCCTTTTCTTCTTGTTCATCAAAAGTATCACCAGCATGGTAATGATGAGTGATGAGAGACAAAATTGCTCTTCAATTGCTCTTCATAACCATGATCATGATAACAGTTTTCCAAGATTCCCTTTTGCTCAAAGAAGAACCCAAAAAATGAACTTACTTTTTTCATCAAACTTTTCATTTTCATTTACATTCACATTATTATGGTTAAATGCATTTTCAAATTTTGTCAATTCGCAAACTTGCTTTTTTCATCAAAATTGTTACAACCAGAATTGTCGGTTTAATCAAAAAAAATGTGTTGGAAGAGAAAAAGCAAAGATGAAGAAAAGGATGAAAATGTAAACTGATTTTTATTCAGTTATTACAATAAACTAGATTGTTGATGTTATTGAGTTGCCTTTATCATCAACTGACTGCTCATCAATTTGAACTGATTTAGCGTAAATCAAAGGGCAAAGAGTGATTATCTTCATTAAATTCAATGTAAATTACTTCAATAATGTATCCGGAATCCATTTTCATCTCTATTAAGGAATGATGAGAAGAAGAAGAAGGAAAAGTGTAACTTGGAAAAGAAGGAAATAGCTAAAGTTTCTAAGGAGATTCAATGCTCGAGAGATTTCATTTATCATGTCAACACTGAAGACGAGTCCAGTTTTTATTGGATCATCTTTTTTGCAACCATTTTCAGTGTTGTTTGAATGTAGAGGTTGAAATTGATCATGGATGAAAAGGAAAGATGAAATGGATTATCAAACTCTAAAATTGGTTCATCAATTGGTCACAAATAAATTGAATTGTTTAGCCACTGGTGTTTCATGAGGGTCAAGTGTTTATGCTGATTATGAATGGTGAATGGATTAACCATTAATTGGTTGTGAGTCACGTTGCAGTTGATTGTGATTAAAAGTGAAATTGCAATGTGTCCATCAATTGAATAAAATTGCTTTTCAATCTTCATCTTGTTCAGCTTCCAATCATAATTATAGTGGAGAGCTTTGCCTTCACTGGTTCAATTGATTTGATTTGTCTAATTGTTTGTTTACCCATTGAAACTGGATTAAAATTTAGTCAAATTTCATTTCATTTTCAACTGTTTACCTCAATGTTAACCCACATTCATTTGGTGAACCAGAAAATTTGGGTTCTTCAAATTGAAACATAATTTAACTAATCATTGATACAAATCGAGAGGTTTTATCAATAGAAAAAATTCATTAATTGATAAAATTTAGTCGACAAAGATCATTAATCATGCCTTGATGGTTGTAAATCAACTAATTTCGGTTAAACCAGACAAAATTGTAAACTTGGATCAATTCAAATCATTATCATTGAAAATCGCACTCATTTTTTACCACCAAAGGGACAATTTTAGTTAGACTGTAGACCTTTTAGGTAATGATTATACTTGGGTTGCTTTATTGGGTAAAGCATTTTTGTTATCATTACACTGAATTTTACCATTGATGTGAGAATAATAATGCCACTCCAATTAATCATGAAAGTGTATAAATTCATTTTCTGGTCAACTGTTGACCTGTCAAGTTAAATGTCAATTTGCTGTAACCACATAATCAATCAAACTGTTGGTTTTCAGGATAACCTTTTCTATGCTTTCCTCTACTCTCTTCACCTTTCACTCTTTTAGCTGGTTAAATATGGTGATGATAATGAAGACGGGTGATGAGATTGAAGAGATTGAGATGAGCAACTTATTGATCAACAATTGGAAAAGCTAAATTTACCAAATTATTAGCTGTTGAACATGTAATAATGTAAAGTGTGAAGGCGAAGAGAAAAAAAGGTTTTTTGATCTTTTCATTGTTTTTTTTACTTTTCCCATCTTGAACCAGAAAATAGAGGAAACCAGAAAAAAAGGTCAACAATATTAGTTTAATCAATTGGTTGATTTATATTCTGATATTGACTATTGAGCATGTAATGTTATTGGATGAGGATAAATTTGATTCTCAAGACTGATTAAGGTGATGCCAGTGGTGGTGATGATGATGGTGGATGAAGAGAATAAAGAAAGTGGGAAAACTCTTGAATCGACCAACAAGGAGGGAAAAAAATGTGACACATTGAAGAGATTATTTCTCTTGATTGAGAGTAAATCTATAACGGGTATTATGATGATCATCAAGATGAAAGATGTTGGATGATAAAGGTCACGTGGATTGAGTCAAATGGCTAAGTTTTCATTTGCTTTTTTGCATCATTTCACGCTCTCTACTGCAAGATGAGTTACTTTTCTTCTTCTTCTTCATCATCTTCTTTTTACACTGTAGTTGACATGATAAGATGTTGACTTACACAGTCTTGCTAATGTATAATAAAATATACATTTATATTAAGCTTGAAACTGGTTGCATTGGATCAGAATGTTAGAAGAAGGGAAGCAAAAGAGTGGAATTTAATGTTAAAATGAAGACAAAAATTGTATTACTTTATTAAAGTTGGCAAGCAAAATATTGAGCTTGTTATTATTACGATTGTTGTTGCTGGTTATTACTTTGTAAATGACTACTTTATACTGAGTTAGAAACCAGAAAATGTTCAATGTGATTATTCAATTGTAATAATTGTAGTTGCATGGAATTGACTCGTTCTGGGTTTTACCCAATTTTGCGTTCTTTAGTTTTGTTTTGTTTTTCGCATGTTTTCATTTTTAAAATAACTTTTTCCATTGAAATCGATAAAAGTATCAAATTTATCCTTTTTCCTGGTATCAACAGGTATTTTCAAAAGCAACTAGTTGTGGGCTGTTTTCAGATTAAAATTGGTAAATTGTTTCAATATTGAGCTCAAGTCTGTAAACTTTATCAATATTGATTGAAATGAATTGAAGGATTGAAAGTGAAGATGAAGAAATCAAAGGAAACAAACAGTAAATTATTCATGAACCAGGAGAAGAGGTAAACAATTTGCTTCAAATGGATGCCCATTGTTGGTTAGTTGAAGAAGCAAAGACAATAAATTAAACAATTAATCACAAAATGAATGTAAAGAGTTGAAATTGAGCAATAAAAGAGAAACAATTAGACAAATAATCAAAGTAATCAAGTTAATTACAAAAAAAGTCAAATGCTAAGTTTCAATTGAGTAAAACTGGTTAAAGATTAATATCGATTTCAAAACTTAATGAAACAAGCATAAAATATTCTTACATAAAATGTACTACCAGACGGATGAAAAGTTCAGGTTTAACAGACAAACAATTGAATTGAAATCACAAAGAATACAATCAAAAATTGAAATGCAAAATAAACAAAATTTCAAATAGAAATTCAATTCTTAACTTTTCAGCCTAACTCGGCTGCAGACTTTGAATTTGCAACAGAAAAATTGAAAGGTAATTCAAAATAATTTGAACAGCAAAAAACTCAAGCTTAGTTCAATAAATATTTCCAATGCGAGCTGAAATTTCAAGCATAATCTTTATGAAAAGTTCATCTTGAGATAAAAACATTTATCTTAACTTCACCTGCAAATCGACTCTGATTCTTGTGAACATTTCATTTTCATTGCGATTTACAAACACTTGATTCAAGCAATTTTCTAAACTTAATTATAAACTTTTATTTCGATCAATCGGTTAAAGCTTCCCATGCTCAAGTATGTCATAAGCTAGCTAATCTTGCATCAATAACCGAAAGTCGAAGTATGAAGGAAATAAAAAACGTCCAAGTTGGACATAAGCAAAGATTAACTGGAAATAATTTGTTTGCGATAATTGCTTGACCAGCAACAATGGAGTGTGCAACATGTAGACATTAACATAAAGCTAAACAACTAATGATTGATACATGTTTATGGTTTGAAGAAGAAAAGGTGACACAAAAGGCGGACAAAAATGGTTAATATTATATAATATAATGTAATAACAATAACAATGGACTCCCAGAGAAGAGAAAGAATTGAAGTAAATGATACAATTGAGAATGAAATGAGAATTGCATTATTACGAGAAATGAATGGCATTTTTTCCATTTCTTTTTCTTCTCACCTTTTTTTGTTATCCATTTACACACTTACAAATATATTGTATTATAAACTAGAATTGAACAAGAGCAACACCTTTAGCAAGGAAAAAGATGCTCAAACTGCAAATAATGGAAGCTCATAAAAAGGAGCGCAAATTGTTTGATAGATTTGGATCTTAATTAGCCTCCAGCAATTTAACCCTATGTAAACATTTAAACCATTTGTGCCCAAAAACAAGGCACAGAGAAAAGAGAGAAAAGGAACCTTAAAAAATGGTTTTGATTGCAAATTTTGCACTAAATTTCATCGTATTTAAAGCTGTCTTTCAAGAAATCGCAACTAAACGAAAGGTTACCCTGCAAAGTTGCCCTTGAGCTTTTACCTCAATATCAATATTTCCTCTTTGATTCCATCATTTCCATTCAACTTCTTCTTTTTTTCATTTTATTTTTCGTTTCTTCTGTTGAATTGCTGAGTGAAAAAAGAAGAGAGAGAAAAAAGAGAAGAAAAAAAGACACAGAACTCGAGTCGCTTGTATCTCGACTGCTCAAGGGAATGTTCAAAGTGAGAAATAAATACTCATTGGGTTTGAAGTTTCACGTTTCATCAGAATCATGAATATCTGGGTGAAAGTGAATTGTTTAAACAATAATTTGCTGTAACCTGTTATTAAACTTTGGGTTTTCATTAAAAGGTTGAGGGTTGCAATTTTGGTAAACATTTAATGGTTAAAGTGAGGTTTGATGAGACAGAAAATTAATTTGTGAGAAGTTTTTCATTTAATGAACATCGTTTGAGGAACACAATTCATTTACCTGAGTATCTTGTTACTAACAATTGTCTGAAAGTGAAGACTCATTTGCATGAGTAGAAATATGGAACAAGATGAATTGATAAAGGGTTAACTTTTCTTGTTCATTTCCTATTCTTCTTTGAATGATATTGACTATGATTCAATAAACGACATGAAATAATCAGTTGCAATTGTATTTTGTTGGCTTAACCCAAACATGATGATACATTGAATTAACTGTAACATCATTTACATCATATTAAATCGACAATATTGATGTTCATAATCATTTTGAAATGTGTCGATAAAATACAAGTCCAGTGAGGGTCAACATTGTTGGGTAAAAGAAGAAATAGAAATGATTGAAAAAGCAATCTTCTTATAATGGCTCCATGAGAAGCTAATTAATCAGTTGAGTTTACACAGACAATGAAACAATCAGTTACATCGAATTTAATAAACAGATTTAGCTCGATTAACTCAGCTTGAATTACATAAGAACAGGGCAGTTTACATGTGATCATCAATTTCAATGAAAGTTAATCATTCGACGAGAAGCAACTTTGAGCTGAAAACACGTGAGTTGCAAATTGATTTAATTGTTCAGTAAGGCTTCATATCAAGTCGATCATTTCCAGAAATCCAAATTATCGCATCAAAAAAGGGAAAAAAACTCGTTTCTCAAAGAAACTTCATCTTAATTGATTTGTGCCACAAAAAGTAGAATAAATTTAGAAAATAAACTTTTTTCATTATTCTATTCACAACAAGAGATGAACCTTAAGTCGACTTTCGATGAAACTTCAATAATTTACAGTTAAATTTAGATTTTCATTCTTCGTCAGTCCATTCTGTTCAAACATTGACAACGATAATATTCATGCAAGACTAAGGTAAACATTTTATCGAACAACTAAACAATTCAATTCTGGTGATTAGAAATGCGAATAAAAATAGTCTGTAGAGAAACTTGAGCTCAACCTTTCCTTCAATACTTAGCGATATTTGATTTCTAATCCTGAATTGAAATCAGATATTTGCTGCATTTTCAATTTTTCATGTTGATTCCAGTTTTAAAATCATAGAATCATGAAATTTTATATTCATAAATCAATTATCCAAAACTTAATTTATACACAAATTTCATTCGAAACTTAAATAAATTGAAAATTGAATATTAAAATGGGAAATAGAATAGAAAATCAAAGAAATTTATATTTTCTTCTGTAAGCCAATTTTATAATGACAAGAATGTTGCATTGAAAGACTGCTACTGAATAATTCTGAAAATGAATGACAAATGCATGAAAATCAGCAGAAAAGAGAAAAGGAAAATCTATTAAAAAACATTTACTTATCATGTTTCATAATGAAAATGTTATTAATGTGTTATCTTTTAGTTATCAAATTTCTGACTCTCAGTTTAATGCAAGTCATTTACACTGATAAAGACAGATGAAAGGGAAAATTGTTACAATTGAACAATTGTTGAACAATGAAACAAAAGACGAGAAATGAGCTAAACATTTAATAATAATAATGATAATGCAAATAACTTTCACTTTTATCATTATTATTATCTTGAGGGAGTTTCTGATGTTTATAAATACAAAAGGCTTCCTTCACTCTCTTCATCACTTCTCAAGTATCTTTATTCAGATTATCATTTTAACAACCCAAAATTGTAGCAAAATGCATCCAGGTTATTAGCATTATTATTATATTTAGTTTCATCTCTTTTCCTCTGTAATAATATCATCAAAATCATGATTATTATGGAATAAGATGGAACCATTTTTGTTTCATCTTCATCCAGAATAGACGGAAAAGATGCTCTTTGCTTAAACCAATAAATGGATTGATGTGAATAGATAAATAAAAACTTTTTACTCTACACATTTATCCGTCTAAGTGAATGCATATTTCATCTGAATAGCTTGAGAAAGGTAAAAAGGTGTGAATATTCAATGTATAACTTGGGTCAACATTTCTCTCAGAAGAAAATGCTTCAAATGCAGGCAAGGAAAAAAGGAAAGATTCAAATGAATTTCTATGAATCTCTAAGCATTTCTATTTTGGTTGCTTGTTCTAGGCTCAATGTTTGGTGAGTGATGAAAATAAAGGATGAAAAACAAGTTGAATGGGAAACTTGGAACGGAAAAGTGTTCTTAAGAGTAGAGAAAAGAGGAAGAAAAAATTGTGAAGAAAAATTCTGTTACATTTTTTTACTTGTGAAAAAAGTGTTAAGAAATGAATCAACAAGAGAAGATAAAAAGTCCAACAAATAAAATTGTGATAACTCAGCACTAGAAACATTGGTATTTATATAGATGATGATAACATATCAATATAAGCATACTTAACAGTTTTTGCTTCACACTATTCTTTTGCTTTTTGTTGCTCAAAATTTTTTCATTTTTCATTCCTTTCCCAGCTCTTATTTTATCCAATTTTCAATTTTATATTTTCTCATCTTTTACTTCTCATGAACACCTTAAGTGCTATTTTTGCTTCACTTATAGACTTGAACTTTGTAATTGGTTACAATTGTTTTCTATGAGTTTTGTTCATTCCTAGGATTGCTATTTCATTTGTTTTTGCGTAATCGTGCAAAATGAAAATTTCATCTTACCTTTGCATCTGGTCTATCTAGGACTAAATTTAATTCCTTTGGATTAATCAGTTTTATCGGTTCTGAATGGGAAAGAAAAATATTGATTTAGTTACAAATTCGTTATTATAAATCACATCGTTCTGATACAAAATTTGAGGCTCTTTATTATCAAAGCAACAGTTCTGTAGCAATCTTGTTTCCTTGGAGCTTATTTTGCATTCAACCTGGGAGTTGCAATGCTCACTCCCTGCATTTTAAACTCTGAGATCGAATGTTTTTGGTATATTATGTGGCAAATGCTGAAAGAACGTGCCGCGAAACCACCCAATCAACCCAGCAGAAGCGTCATAAACATTAAGGAAAGGGTCAGCTCTCGTCCAAATTTTGCCATTATTAAGTTTTATGCTCGTAGGCACTCATCCAAATTTCCAGTAACATAAAAGATTTCACAAGCTGAGAGGTAATGAGTTTACAGATAAAGCTATCTGAAGTCAGCATCAAGCGGTCTGTACCAGGTTTGGCTGACGGCCCACACCACTTAAAAAGGTTGAGCGATTTGGACCTATGAACTCTTATTGAAAGCCGTACATCATTACCATGAGATTTTCCCTGGCCTCTCTTTATCTACAAACCCTACAGTTACTCAACTACCAACTAATGATAAAATGTAAAAACAATTTAATAAGACTATTTTTGAAGTAGAAATCGATACTTCTGTTTGAATGACAATTATTTCGTTAAACGCAAAGAACGTATTTATGCGAAGACTTTTGCTTTTCATTTTATATGCTCGCTCTAGTTTCATATACCACAAGTTTGGATTGAGTGGGTGATATATGAAAAATTGAAATCCTCATCGATTTCCTATCGAACTAGGATTTCGTTCACTAGTGCTGGCTATTGTAACTGTATCTGTTTATGAGCTGAAACTTTATATGAATCAAATTTTAAGGGTTAAATGTTGAAGCTCAATACTTCAAATAACTGCAACTTTATTCTGATTTTTAGACTCGACGCTATAAATTCAGTATTTTTAGTTTGAATTGCTTAATAAAAAGCTTGTAAAATTTTCTTGTCGATGAAAAACAATTTTTGCAGTTTTTTGTTGACCTTGCAAACAAAATGTTGCATATTTTCAGTGTTAAACTGGAGTTTTCATTATCAAACCAAGTAACTTAGCAACTGTTGCACTTTCAATAAAGAGGAAAAGATTATTTTTCAAATTCACTTTTCATTCTTCAACAAAACTATGCCAGTCAACTTATAATTTGAATCGAATTGATATCAACATGAATATCGAAGTTGCATCAGGGAAAATATTAGACTTTTCACCTTGTCCTTGTTCACAGAATTGAGTTTGAAAAGTTAAGAATGTCATGAGATACGAAATGTGACAAAAATTGACAATTTTATTAGTCGCATTTTTAACAGTTTATTGTTGCTTCAACTGCTACAATAAACACTATAAATCAACATTCAACTATTGAATTTCCTAACATGGAAAACATTGCCAAACTTTTATCCAATAACAATTCGTTCTTGTTCCCAATCCTAGATTCAAATTTACTTCAACATATTCAGTGTTATTCAACATTCCCACTCAACTCCCAGTTGATAGCAGAATAAAAATATGATGAAAAGCCCAACAAAATACAAGATAAAGATGAAATCAACTGAGAGCTAATCAAAGACAGTCTAACAATTATAATCACAATTTATTCAAGTTGATCCATCAATACTGAATTTCGATGCAAAATATATCAATAGTTACCTGGGAAACATAAATACAGACAAATTATCATTTTGATGAATATCCAATTTCACAGATTTCAAATCTTTGTCTCCTCTTTCCTTCCCTTCCCTTCCCTGTTTCTGTTATTATTGAATATCCAATGCTGTTTACCTTGAATATTATCATTATTACTTTTATTATTGTTGTTATATTTTGAAAGGCTTTACAATACAAATAATCCTTTTCATGTTTCTCGTTCTTCCATTCAATAGTTATCTTGAAAGAGGAATGTTGAGGACAGAAGAAAGAGAAAATTCTCTTTTTGTCTTCCAAATGAAATTCTCTATTCTCAAACTCTTTCCATTCATCAACAAAGAACAAGGTAAAAATTATTTTATATAATGCAATATTTTGTTCCCTCAACGGAACTGGCAACTCGAAACTCGACGTTATTAAGTTTGCTTCTCAATTTTGACAGTAAATTTTCATTCCATCACAACTTTTCCTGCCATTATTATGATTATTATTGCTATTACTGGGAGTAAATAATATTGATATTTTACTTCGTTTTTTTTAAAAAAAATGATAATATTTTAATGGAGAAGAAAAAGAAGAAAATTTCTTTTTCATTAAGGTAATGGGATTTAAATGAAATTTGAGATTCACCATTTAACCTGTACAAGGGTAAAAATCAGAATTGAATTGTTCGTCGAGATGAAAAATTTTTGTTTCATTTTTTCCATTCTCTTGCAGAATAATTTTCATCAATTTCTTGTAAGAAGATATAAGAAGAGAAGAGGAGAAAAAAATGATGAAAAATTCAATGCAAACTTTGCTTTTTTACTTTTAAATTGACAAAGTTATTCAATTTTATTTTTTCAACAAAAATTTCAACCTTTTTCTCCCTGTTACTCAATGATAATGATATTTCAAATTCTTTTCCAGAAAAATCATTTCAAGTTTCAGTTTACAATTTAAAATTACTTTTCAACATCATTAATATCATGGAAAAAATTTTTAATTTCATCTTCACTATCAATTCCATGATTAAATTATATTCTTCTTTTTATCTGTTCCAATATCATTCAATATTAACCAAACCTTTGAATCAAAAAATTGAATTAATTCCTTAAAACCATGGCAACATGAAATCTGATTAGTAATATGATTATAGATTTATCATTATTCAAACTCTTATCCAAATGTTTGCCAATTCTGAGCGAAAAATTATCGAGCATAAAATTCATTTCGAATCTTTGATTGGAAAAAAATTTGATAGTTTAACCTTTCGTTTCAATGTTGATGCAAAAGATTCGAGTAACTCTTTTACTTGAAAGTTTTGGTCATTTGAATGTTGGTTTTGTTCACATGAAAGATGGTTCGATCCATGAGCTTATCGACATCTGTTTGCACTTGGAGTTATCTATTCACCAGTGATGAACACTTGTTGATCACAAAGCAACAGGTTTGATGGAAGCTCATTGGGTTAGTGAGTAAAAAATTGAATGTTGATTTGATAAATGAAATTAAAATGAATCACTAAAACAGTAGCTTTCAACTGTAAATTGTTTGGATACTTTTTACTCGTACTTTTTTCTCTATTTCATGAGATTCTCAGGAGATTACAGATTATACCAGATAACGGTTCATTAGGAGCCAATTTATTTTGACAATTTCATGATTTCTTTGCTTTCTTCGTAAGTTGTTTTTTCTACTTCTCTTTACGTTCATTCGTTAGTCTTAAATTTACTCCAACTTGGTTTAAACAACTGTAGATTTTGAAAGAAATGATGAAGATTAAGATGATGATGATGATGATTGGTAAAATGTTAATGAGATGATAGATGAGTTGACTTTGATGTTGGAACAAAAAAAGCGTTTTAAATGGCAACGAATTGAATTGAAACAACTGGTAACATGTTAACCCAAGGGAATGGTAAAAGTCCAAACAACCATTAAATCAATTCAATGAGAGCATCATTTATGATTTGTTGATGAGTGAACAGATAGGAAAGTGAATCAAAATGTTGAATCAAAATTGTTTTCCAATCAATTATTTATTAATAATTTAAATAAGTTATTCAATTTGCTTCATTTTCATTCTAAAGTGAATTACTGTTTTCATTACAATTGAATCTTAACTTGCCATTCATTGCCATTCAAATTAAATTTAAATTTATTGTTAATGTAAATTGAATAAACTAGTGTAAAAGTCGAGCTTGAAACATTTCAGTTTCAAGATACAGAATAATTGAGCGATAATAAGATATTTCAAGTAAATTTGCAAACAAAAAGTTGAAATGTACAGCAAAGATGAAATGCAAGACTGTGAAACCTTGTAAAAACCTTTTTACTGTTGAAAGAGCATTTACTAGGTTTATCATTGTATTCATTGTTTATTGAACATGAAAGAATTGCTTTTATAAGACATTTTCCTTAACCATTCAACCTGTAGAACTGTGAAGATTTCCAGATGAATCCGGAAATGCATTTTGGTTTCATTAAAGAAAATAGAGTTCTCTGTTTTCCAGAATCAAAAAGCTACAAAAAGTATTATTTAGTTGCTTGAATAAGGACAATTAGAAATGTCGATATTTGACAAAAATTTAAAATCTTTTCTGGTTGACCATTTTTCGTTTCCAACTGTGAAAATTGATCTGATGAGGGAAAAAATGTTTTCATCATTTTCTATCAATTTGACCAGTTAATTGGCTATTCAGTGAAACTTGTTATTCACTTGTTTCCCATTTAAAACTGTTGCTCATTGACTGTTGTCGTTTCTGGTTGATGAAGCAACAGACAACCCACACAAGGTATAATGTTGACCAATTAGATTCAATACATTAAAAGTGAATGGCGATTGAAATAAAGAGCAAAATTTTGGGATAATGAGAGTCGTTATAATGCATTCATCAGCTAATTTGATGATGTGAATTAGCAGTTTCAATTATTATGGTCATTGGTTCATCATTTGATAAATAAATCTCTAGATTGGAAGCAATTCAATATTGACAGTTAATTCACCTGAATAGATATCAATGGTAACAGAGCAACAAATTGAAGCGCAAAATGGATCATATTGTTGCATCAGTTGATAAATATCTGAAATAATTGTTTCGTTTGTAATAATACAAGAGAATCGTGAAAATTACATGAAAAGACAAATGTAATGAACAATCATTAAGATGAAAAAAAAGTCTGTCAAAGTTGAAGAAACCAAGAAATATGTTAAAAGAATCTTTCATCTTCTGAAATTTCCAATTATCATTTCGTCTGCAGTGAAATACTGTAAAGCTATTGTTCAAGTGTTTATTGCATAAATGATAATTGCATTTACAGACATTCAAATGATATTAACAGCTTTACACACTTTCTTCATCTTATTCACTTCACTTTTTCCTTCCACTTGAAACTCTTTTCTTTTTTTTCCTTTTTGTGCTCTTCTTTTTTATTTCAGGTTAGGAATGAGTGATGAAAATGAGGCAAAATTTGCACAAAATGATAACACAGAATGTTCATCTTGGAAACTGAGGCTGTACATGAAGAAACGGTACATTCGTGTGAAGTATAAGTGAACACAAAGTGATACTTTATTTCAATGGTAAACTGGTTAACTCCAAGTGAATCAACATGTTAACCTCTTTTTACTCCATGTTATTTGCTCACTTTTCCCTTTTAATCCCATTTTTGTGTAACATTTACAATATTAGTTCCATTATTGTCCATGAAAAATGTTTCAATCTGATACTTGTTTCATTTTTTGACATTCAATTTTCAAAGGTAAACAAGCTTTGATAATTGCTGTTGACAGAAAAGATTCTAAATCAATGTTGAAAATATTATTCAGGTTAATTTGTTTACTAAAGACTAAAATATTGTATTTTCATGTTGACAATCGAACATTTTCATTCCAAAAATTTTCATTTTCTCAACTTTTTTGGATTTTGTTTCATTCTTTATGATAAAGGCTTTAAATAATGAAGATATTTTCAATTCTTGAAAAGTTCAAAAATCAACTTCTCGAATTTCAATGAATACTGTTATACTGATTCAAGATTCGTAAAAATGGATTTTTCGCAAAAAATTGCTGAACTTGCGATGACAGGCTGGAACTTTTTGACTCTTTTCTTTGTAGATTTTTAGAAGCAGATATTTCTTCTGAATTTCCAACCAATTTCCAAGTTTATTTACATGTCAATAGTTAATTGGAAAATTAATTTACTCGATTATCGAAATGAAACAAAAGTTTTCCTCTAAGTAAAAGTTTTCCTGGTTAACATTTTGGGCGAAACATTTGTTGTAATAAAAAAAGAGGTTAAAATGAATATTGTTATCATTATTATTCGTGAAGTGATGAGAAGTGATAAAGAAGACAGAAATTGGATTCTGTCAACTTTTTTTACTTCTCTTCTCTTTCTTTCTCTCTTCTTTCTCCTTTCTCCTCCATTCCAGGATTGAATCAAATTTACACTTGACTCGGAATAACTCTCAATGCTGGAAGGCTTTGATTAGTTTACAGTTTCCTCTAATTGCTTCCCTGATGCCTCCAAGGAATTTTATCTTCTCATTTATTTGCATTACTTTTTCTAATAACATGATTGCCCTGTCTATCTGAACCATATACCTGAAAGAAGAAGCATTTTCATTTCTCTTTCCAATTCTATTTGAGAACCAGATTACCGTTATCATTCCTTCATCCTTTCATCCATTCCCAGTTAACATCATGTTTCACATCATTCAATCCTCTCTAAACCATATCGAATTCCTTCTTCATCAAAAGGGAAAGAGAAGAAGAGAAGAGAAAGAAAAAAAGAGAAGATTTTCCATTGAATTCACCATGAACCACTCAAATTGAATAACACAACTTTTCAATCATCACAATCATCTACTTTACATAATTATCTTCAAAATTATCACATCATCAATGAAAACATTTTTTTCTCTCTTCTCTTTGCTACAACATTTTACTTTTGCTCTTCACTTGAAAAGATTGATTCAGTTTCTTCATGTGATTATCACTTCATTAGAAACTCAACTGTAATGAAGAAGGAAAAATAATTCTTCAAGAGTTGAACTTCTATAATGAGAATTGCTTTTAAAAAGATTAAACCTGTTTACATGATCAATAATCGTAAACGATTATTGCTATCTTCAGGCGATATCATGTCATGTGTCGAACCAACCTGTGAACCCAATGAGTTTTTTTTCAGTCAATTTAATATTCCAATGAATTTTGTTGTTTCTTGCAACTTTGTCTCAATCATAATTGTACCTTTAACTTTACTTGGTCTCGGATAAATGTCAATACAAAATGTTGAAACTGCAAATTGAGTCTCAACTTGTCAAACAGGTTAAGACTCAATTATGCAAACAAAGATGTTCAATATTCAATGATACAAGTTTTCCAGTTGACACTCTTTTCCTTGTCAAGCTTATCATAAACCTGTTCAATAGTGACAGCGAGTTGAACTCAAAGTATCCATTTTCATGATCTCTAAACTCGCATCAATTTTGGGTTCAATTTTCACCAAATGTAAAACTGAAAAGGTATTCAGCAAATTGTCTTTCAATGAAAAATTATCATTTCTTATCATTATTTTTCCTCTCTCTGTGTTGTGCAAATAAAAAAAGAAATGATATTAAATATTAATATTAATAAATCATGAAATGGATGATTTGAAAATTTGTAATCTTTTTCTTCTTGTACTTTTACTGTTTTTCATCGTTCTATTGATGATAACTTTGATTAAAGATGGCGAAGGAAAAAAATCCATTAACAATCTTTGGCAATAAAATTATAAGCAAATACTGGTAACATCATCATGGACAAATAGTGAGATAAACTTTGATAGGAAATGAGATTGAAAAGTCATCATCATCTTGATTCAGTTGAATTTAGTCTCTAGTGATTTGGGAATGAAGAGGAAAAAACTTTCAACTCATAACTATCATGGTTAGCTGATGAACATTGATTTGAAGAGTAAGGGAAGAGTAAAGAATCAATCAGAATAAATGTAAAAACAGAAGAGCAAAAATGGAGAAACAAATGTTAATAAATGACGATAATTTTAATGAAGATAATAGCAGAAGCAGAATAATGTAAATGGTAATCAAGTTTTCCTTTTTTCTTCTCCTTCCATTCACAGTTGCATGTAAAATGAACCAGGTAAACATTTCATTGATTCAATCAAGAACAAATTGGCAATGATTAAATTATAAATTTCAAGTGGTTCACAAGTCAAATTAATGGGTTAAAGCAGGGAAAATGGAAAAGCAATTGAAAGTGAAAACAAAAAGATTGAAAAAAGTAAAGAGCAATAATTGTTTTAAATCAACTTTTAATTGTAAACGAAAATTCATTTTCTTTTGATTCATTTTATCATTCTCATTTCACTCTTGCATCAGCTGAATGTCATGGTGAATGTGTGTGTTCAAGTTGTAAGGTGCAAAAAAAGGATGAATTTGTCTTTACCATTTAATAGATGAAAAAATAGACTAAATTAGATTAGTTGGTAAATGAAGTGAAGTTGAATTAGTAGCAAAAACTAAACAGAATTAAATCAAGTTCAGATGATAATCGGAAGATTATGATGATCAGATGATGGAAGATGAGAAAAGTGCGATCGTTTTAAAGATTTTTTTCTTCTCTTCTCTTCATTTCCATTCTAAAATGTACTTGAAAAATTATGAAAAGTAATGAGAGATTAACCGTTTGAAAAATGTTCAGTTTCCCTGTCAACATCATTTAACTTCATCATGAATGGAACCTGTTAAGAGTCATTTTCTTTCTTCATCATCACCATCATTTATCATCTTCAACCAACCAATCTATTCATTTATCTTTATTTTAACTTAATTTCACCTTAAAATGGAATCTCATTATCCGTTCAATTTTCCCTGTTTTCCCTGTCACTTTGAAAATCTTTTCTGGTTCCAAAAACCGTTTTTTTACCTTTTTACCTTTCTCGTCATTTAATTGTCAATTATGAATGATTATATCAATCGATAAACTGGAGGAAAAAACTGTGAACAGATTATCGTTAACATTTCAACAGTAATCTTTTATTCTGGCAACTTTTCATGTTTTTACAATTTTCACCTTCAAGTCACTTTGTTTTCAGCATTTCCTGATGATAAATTTATATCATTTGAAAAAATACACAAATTTATTCAAGAGTTTTACCCTTACATCTCATGATCATCTTTTAAATAATATTAGCAATAAAGAAGAGAGAAAAAAAACTCAATTTCTTTTCCTTTTTCTTGAATTGCATTGAAAAAATATTTGATTCACAAAAGATCTCAATATGCTTTGCTATTGTATTTTGCATCAATTTTCAGCTTCACTCATCAATGCCTTAGGGTATTCAATGAACTGAAATCAAAGTTGCATGTTAAGAGGGAAAAAAGATATTTGGTTAAATCTTCTTCCTTTTTTTTGCCTGATAACAATATTACATTTGAATGGAAAGAGAGAAAAGGCGAAAAGCCAAAATTCAGTAAATTAGCAGCAATTTCATTCCAATTTGTATCATGATGGAAGCAACAGATTCTCCTGATAACATTAAATGTCAATTTTGTGGGTGAAAATTGATTAGAAAAGTTGAAAGCTCAATTGATTGTGGATCAACATTGAAACAAGCGTAAAAATGGTCTTCAATTCCCAGAGTTGAAGGCGTTTAACATTGAAAAATGAGAGTAAAATTGTTCATCAAAATAATGTTTAATTTTAAATGTTTACTTTTATTGTTACAAGCTAAACTGGTTAAATCAATTGAGATAAATGACTGACTTATTTCCGTATAAATTAGCCAACCTGTTAACCCTATTACATTGGGTTAACTTAAATTGGGTTAACTTGAACATTTTTTACTTTACTTTTCTGGTTCTTTGCTTTTTATTACTTCTTCTTTGTATTACATCTGTATCTTTGGATATTTTTGCTTCCATTCAATAACATTTAGACCTTTTTGTTACTTAAAAAGTCCATTAAAATGAAAATCAAACATTTCGATTCCCCTGATTGTTTCGGATAAAAAGAAATGAACACAAGAAAATAATAGGAAAGAAAGTTAATAACAAATAGTTGCACACCAAGAATGAGGAGAAAAAATGAACAAAATCTCATTGGAATGAAATTTTGTTTTCATTTTATTTGTTTAAAGGTAAAGTAAAAAGGTTTGAATAAAGATTTGGAAAGCAAGATGATCAAAAATGAAAAGATGATGATGATGGTGAGAAAGGATTGCAGGGATTGGAACACGAGAAAACTGTGATTTGAACAGTTTTGTTTCCCTTTTTCTTTGGTTCGCAATCAACAAAAGTCGACAAAAAGATGAAGATAAAAAGATTTCACTTCTTTCTTTTTTTTCATCAACAAGATGATCATTTTTTTCTGCTCAAGCTAAATCATCAGGGAACTGTCAGTCTTCATTGATTGCCTAGACTTTAACAATAAGGCGAAACAAGGTGAGTTTACCTTTGAAATGTTACTTCTTGTAATAGTCATTTGTTTGGTTACCTGAGAAACAACAGAATTCATCTTCGCACTTTTATCTTCTTCTTCTTCTTTTTCTCTCTCTCTTTACTCTATTCATCTCAGCATTTTCTTGCCTTTCAAATTTACTCTAATATATTGAGGATTACGGCTTCTTTTTTGCTACCAACAACTGGATTTACTGAATTCAGATTATTGTTTAGCTTTGCACATTTTCCCATCAACAATGGAATCAGGGAATGAATAAAGATGAAACAAAGAATATCATTATCAACATCATTTTCTGGTTACTTTTCTGGTTCATCATGTTCATTTACCTTGCTTTTTTGAGCTTCAACAATTTTTTCCCAAATTAAATTGAAAGGTTTAATTCCTTGTTTAAACACTTTCTTTCAACTCTTTTCATGTTATAACACTTGCACACAGGTATCTTTACCTTTTATTACCAAATTTGTTTCTTTGTTTTTCTGCTTCTTCTTTCCTTCTTGTTCACCATTAATATTTTTACATCTCATGAGACTAATTAAAAGTTTACAATTTATTGAGTTCAATCTTTCATTCATTTTATTTTTACATTTTCTCTCTACTCTTTTTTGTCTACTGCTTCAGATTACATTGGATTACAATTAAAGTTAAAACTTGCAGTATTAACTCAATGATTTACGGTAAACTTTAAATTGTTTGCTTTGCCTTTTGGTAATATATTAATGGCCCAACTATAAATCAATAGGAAAACCAGGTTGGGTTCAAAATTTATCTTTAAAAAGATAAGTTTCCCTTTTTGTCTGGTATTGAGAATCATGATGGCAGTTATCATCATTAAGATTCATTTGGATTCAATTCAATGGATTTAATGGAAACTATTTCAATTTTTGTAAATTTGCCTTCCTTTGTATAATGTGAATTGTAATTTATGGTTAAACCTTAGCAATCATCATTTTGGGTTGCAATTAGAGGTGAGTTTAGACAATTTTCGCGATAATTGGTTCAATTACAATCACAAATGGCTTTTTCATTCCTTTCCTTATTGTTTCTTTGTTGCCTTCACCAACTGATTTTCAATCTATGCTCTGCTCCATGTTTACATTATTAATTCATTGCAATTAGAGATTTTGTTAACCATGTATAATCAAATGAGTATGCAAATGAGTTTCATGGCTTTAACGGTAATGTTTACAAAGATGATTTAACAGCCAATCTACCACAATTTGAAGATTAAAATGTAGGAGAAGGAAAAAAAAGATTACATTTTCCCAATGTTTGCCAATGATAATGGTGAAGCTTGAAAAGGATTGAAAAAAGATGAACCATTTGATTGTTATTGATACGCTTTTTGGTGAACAATGTTAAATATTCAGACATTTTCACCACCAAATTTCCCTGCAACTCCTGATTATTGAAACTGAAGAGTGTTGGTCAGGGTTAAAAGTTTACCTCATTGCTTGTAAAAACCATTGATTATCTTTATATCAACCTAGTTTTTTCTCCTCCAGTAATAATACCTGTCATCTTCAACAATATTAGTTTCAAGTTATTATTAGTTGTTGATATGAAAACAACAGAGTCACAAATTAAAACAAATCTCTGTTCAAGAGTCTCTCAGTCAAAATTGAGATTACTATTATTATATTACCTTTGGTAATATTATTTCCACTCTCACCCTCTCTATAAATGAATAACGAATAATCCACTTGAAATGATGTTGATGAAGATGATGATCATGGTATATATTATCCGTCACAATTTTTCAAAAGCAGAGAGAAAAGAGAGAAAAGAAAAATTTACAATTAATTACTCAATCCAACTCAACCAATATAACTACTTACTTTCAATTGTTAGCCGTAACCAGTGTTACACAGCAAACATTTTTTTGGTTACCATACTTCTCCACTTTAATCACTTCAATCGAATCAAAAGATCTACTTTCAGATTCATTATAGAGCATCATATATAATAGCAGTTATTCATAATGAATTATGAGAGATAAATCAATAATTATAGCGAAATAATAACCACTTGTTGAAGTCAATTTAAACAGCAAAACATACTTGTTGAACCAACAGATTGCCTCAACAGCATTACCGCCATCTTATAACATGAAAGGTAAACAAGCAAAGTTGAACACAACTATTGACTTGTAAAGATACAATTACTAAATCATCAGAATTCAATTACATTGGAAATGTAAAAAACCGAATTGATTGAAAGTGAAATGTAAAAAAATTGGAGCCAAGAAAAATTGACAAAACACTTGTTTGTTGAGACAAAATGCCGAAGACTGTGAATTGAATAAAACCAATAAGAACTGTAAATCACTGGTTGAACACAAATTAAAATAGAACTCAGTTTTGTTACTTTGAAATTAGCCCGAATTTTGTATCATAAACCATAATTAAAATTAACAATTAGGATGAAAATGGATTAAATTTTAAAAATAAGCTCACCCAAAGGTAATGAACTTAACGGTTCTTCAAATTCAACATTTTCATTGACAGAGCTTTGAGCGCCATCCTGTGTCTCTTTTGGTAAACTTTTATCATTTGGTTCGATATTTGAATTTAATCTTTTATCAATTGATTCACTTTGTTCATTGTCATGCTCATCATTAGATGAAACCATTTTTTGATGAGCTTCAGTATTAGATGAAAGAGACTCAACAGGATGATTAGAGCCAGACTCGTCGGGAACAGATGAAGACCAAGAAGAGAGTAAATTATCCGAGAAAATTGGTTTTTGATTAAGATTGGAGGATAAAGCAACATCACGAACAGTTAACTAAATTGAGTGAATTAAAAGATTCCAATGTTCATGTAATAAAGATACAAACTAAAGGTATCACAATGTGTTACTTACATAATCATTTAGATCAGGTAATTGGGACAGATAATTAACCAATGGCTCATTTACTTCAAAACGATTATCTTGATAAGCATTCCAAACATTTGGATCATATTGGAATCGATTGATTGGTACATTGTCTTGAGATAGTTCTGGGAAAAATAAATGAAAAAGGTTAACATTTCTTGTAATATTTACATTTGGCAAACATAAATAAAAGTCAAAATTGATCAACTTCATTTCAATTGAAATTACTTATGACAACAAAGATTTGCATTCATGTAAATATTGTTCAATTCAATTTTGTTGCTGTCATGTATTTATAGTGCATTTTTAAGATTCAATTTCATAATTTTTTTCCTTCCCATCTTTCAAATGTATTACTTTGATTTGTATTAATCATCAAGCAAATTCAAATAAATTGGCATCAATTTGATTTCATTTTAAGATTCAATAAAATTAATCCTCAAGCTGTTCCATCTAGCGTTGGAAAAAGAAAATATTTAAAATGGCAAAAGATGAAACTGAAAAATCATAGATAATGTTACTCAAACTGTTTCTATCGTTTGATTAAATAATCCTTATTTTTTGCGTTTGATTATTTTCTGTTTACGTTTAATTTTACCTTTTATTTTGTTTTCGTGTTCAGTTTATTCTATTGAAATGGTTAATGACATAGTGATTACATAAAAGGTTAGCGCTATTATTAGTTTAAAGCTTTGCTTAACTCGAATCGAATGGTAATGTGATGTTAACCAGAACAATGTGTAACTGTCAAATGTTAACTTTATAATCACTTGACCAGGAAATTTGTTACACATTTTATACGGTTAATATGTATAACTTTTGGGTGACGGATTCAATGGTCAATCCAGAGAAACAGTCAATTGATTGACCTTTCAATGAGTCTAAGCTTGTTTTAGTCCTCAACATCATTCGATTTCTCATTTAATATTTTTTTTTATTTCTTTAGACTTGCCAGTTATCATCAACTAGGTGACATATTATGGGGGAGATAACACTTAATATATGGTTGGAAAACTCATCTCACTGTAAATAAATAAAGATCCTGAAGTGTTAATATTGACAAACCTGACAAAAGCTGTCTCTCGGTCAGGCTATGGCAACAACTTTACAAACTGCTCTATTTGCCTTTTTAAATTATTGGGAAGCGAAAATTTCATGCTACAGGTATGCTGCTACAGCTATCGGAAAGTTTAACACATTTGATTCTATGTCATCAATTGACAAAGAGTCACGAATCAGTCAGCGTAATAAATATCAATAATTTCACAAATTGAAATATTTATCAAGTTTCCAGTTTATAAAATCAACGTAATGACTCTAGTCTCTTAATCTGGTTGACTTTGAATAAGTGGATAAATATACTGATTGTCCTTTGTAGAAGAAACAGTAAATTCATCTTCATCCATTGTTGAAATTGCGATTTAACTTAAAAAAAGCTTTCTGGTGATCTTTCCTTGTAAAGATGAATAATGAATTTTACTGAAAGCTCAGCTCTTCATTGTTTCAACAAAAGGTTAATGGGAAAGTGTCATGTCTACTATAGCTTTAGATGATGATGATGATGATTATCTTATTTAGTGAATTATACCTAATTTCAATGTTATTTTCTTTCATGAAAATAGATTGGATTTTTATTGATTGAAGAGATTGACTATAAATGAATCAATAAGATGTTGGTGCATCGGAAAGCTGTTTCAAAGGTAAGCCTTATGCAGTAACCGGCAAAAACTTACCATTTTCTTGATTTTCATCTTGATTTAAGGTTTCCATCAATATGGGCTCGTCTTTATTATTATTTGTTGCCATTAATTGAGCAACATCTTCTAATAATGCCAAAAGTGGCCTTGATTCAGCTAAGTCATCAACCGTTTCCAGAGGTTCACTTGGTTCTTCATCTGGTGTGAATTTTGCTGTTAATCTTTCTGGTTCAATTTCATCTTCTCTAACCATGGTTTCATCTGGATTATTATTTTCATTATTATCACCTTTCACCGATCCATCGAATGGCAACCACTGGACGATACCTTCAGTAAAACCAGGCTTAATTGGGTTGAAATAATTACTTGATTGAACATCTTTTAACTGTAAAATCAAGCCAAAGATAAAAAATGAAACATGAATAACAGGTAAACCTAAATTCAACCTTAAGCTCAATACCAATGAACCAATCAACCAAAAGTATCATCTTGCTGTCTGTTAAGTCATTATCTCCATTAATTAACTAAAAGGTTAAATTATAAATTAAGGCTTAGCATTAATATTAAATCTCAACATTATAACATTGGAACAACAATCTATTCTAAAAATATCTTTCTTCACTGTCATCACTGTTGCTCTCCCAAGCTAAATGTATAATCAATAAGTCTATTGTTTTCTTATTTTTTTGCCCAGGTTGATTGAAATGTCAATGGTGTTGATCAAAGTTGCAAGGATTGTTAATTGAACTTGCTGCCAACCTCTTTGGAATCAGGTTCATGAAAAAAATATGTTGGTCCTGGTTTCTTAATATCGTAACGGTGTTGCCGATAAAAGCTCCAACGTCTACCGGGAAATGAATTGTCATCTGAATCATCGAAATCTTGATTACCTGATGGTGAAAGGAAAAACAAAATTATTAAATATTGTTTCAGGCGAGATGGTGAAGTCTTTGAAATCTTATTCAATCCTGGTTAACCATACAAGGTTGAAATGGAAACCCACAAAAAAATGATTCAACCTTTCAGATAATTTGTCTTGTCAACTTGTCTTACCTAAAAGGTGATCTGCATAGCTAAGAGTAGCTAACAGATAAGTATAAAGTAAAGGTAACCACATAAGCCGGAAATGGAAACAAACATGTCGATGGGATTTCATGATGGTCATTTGAAGTCAAATGAGGACGATGGTTAAGATTATATGAAATGGATTCAATGAAAGATACGATGAAAGTGTTGAGGATTAGACTCTGTCTTGGTTGAACCTAGTAACCTTTTTACCATGAATACGTCTCACAATGTCAACAATCAAACCAGTTGTTGACCATAAAACTGTTATCAATAATGATGATGATAATGATGAATCAACATTTAATATTGGTGAAAAGCCAAGAAAAGATGGATGACTGTGAAGGAAACAAATGGACTTATGTTGATGAATTGTGACGATGAAAAGCAACAATCGGTTAAATTTTTTTTAACAAACAATTTTTTAAACATGAAAAGACATGAAAACGAGTTGATTGATCGACATTCAGCATTCAACAATGAAATAATCCAAGATATGAAGTAAATTGAACTGGACCAAAATTAATCCATAAAACAGGGTTTAACTCTTGTAAAATGAAAAATAAAAGAAACCAGAAAAAATGGTTTCCAAATTGAGACAATTTAAGATTTCTGTAATTCAATAAAAAAAACGATGTTTTTGGCCAATTTTCTGGTTTCTTTGGTTTCAAGATGAGGTATAATTAATCCTTGGATTGAACAATTCAACAGTTAATCTTTACATCAAGATTGAAGGTTGCAGGTTAAACCAGTTGTTGTTGTTAAACAGTCACATAAACTGGTGCGATGTAATATACAAAAAAAGGTTTAGATTGGCGTAAATTAACAATTAAACTTCAAGTATTGTCATCCATGATTGTGATTAACCGATATTAAATTTAAAATGATTAAAGGAAAGAAACAAAAATTATATTTTTTTCAATAATAATAATAACAGATGAATACGTTTTTTTGGATAAAAGAGCAAAGAGGAGTTTAAATGTACCAAAGGATATAATACAAGGCTGGGAGTTGATATTTTGATTCTGTCTTTTTCTTTCTCACAATATTCCTTTCGACTTTTCTCTGTCTATTTTCCTGTGTTCTTTCATGTTATCAGAATAGCTCTAATGGAAGAAGAAGAAGACTGAAAGAAGAAAAATTAGTGAGCAAAGGAAAATGGCTACCAGAATAATATCGATTGATAAGTGCGTAGGTTTTTCATGTTATTTGAACACTCAGATGATGAAGATAGAAATGTTTTTTTTCTACTCTTTCGATATTCTAATTTTCATCTTCATGATTATCATCATTTTTTGGGTTGTTGATGTTGCATTAAACCGACTCCAAAAGTGTCTTTCAATGTTGAGTAAATGAAAGTAAATGAAATATTTTCATAACTAAAAAGTCCTCATTTCTGTTTAATCTCAACAATTTGCTCAACTTTACCAGTTTATCAGTATTTACAAAAACTAATGTCTTCACCCAAATGTTATATAATATATCATTATATTAGTTAATGTTATATAAAAATATAATGTTTACCCTTTCTTCACATTCAGTTTACCTAACGTTTAGTTAATTTAACTCTTTTATCTGATTTTCAAAAGTAAATCATTTCTTTTCATTTGACATTTTTCCATTTTCTGCTTTCGATTCAAGTGCCATTCATTTTATTAAAAACAACTTTTATTAAATTTCTTGCCATTCAATATTCGCAATCCAATTTTTTCCAATTGTTGACCTTTACAGATTAATATTTGTTGCAACATTGAGAATTTGAAAGCTTCGAAATTTTCGATTCTCGATTTTCATTTTTAGGTTTCACTTGTTGAACTTTTAAATTTTTGGGTTTGCTTTGTGTTCAAGTAAATCAACCAGATTCGGTTGGTTTGATTAACCAAGATAAAAAGGTGACCGAATAAGAAGTGCGAGCTTTGCTCTTTGGATAAAGTGATCTTTTCGCAACAAAGGCAATGAGCGCATTTTCAATTGCATGGACAAAAGCAGTGAAGAAAAGTCCAACTGAAAGGATAATGAAACATCCACGAATGTTTTTCACATCGATACCATTTGGGTTCCTCCATTCAGGGCAGTTCAACTTTGACTTGTGATTGCCCCAATATTTGAGTTTCAATTTATCCAATTCACCAGAACGTTTCATCTCTTTGATGGACTCATCGAGAAAAGGTTTCAAATTAAAGGGATCATTGAATGAAATTGGAAAGGCAATTGGATGATGAGCCCAGGTTGAGTCAAGAACTCTTATGTCACAGTATAATGATTCAGCCCATTCCATTGAGAGTCTTTCACCTAGAATAGAAAAGAAGAAAAAATGAAAGAAAAAGATTGAGAAAATGAAAATAGAAACAATTGAATTGGTCGTTGAAAGGTAAAAAGACGATCCATTCAATTGGATAATAATTTTGCTTAACCAATCAAGTTATCAACAATTAGGAATAATATCATTTACCAATAAGAGCATAACCTTCCTTGGAGCTTTCTGAACTTCTAACTGTTCGCAGTGCAGATTCAAAGCTTTTCGGTATTGGAATTTCATCCATTTGAGCTCGAACTTTGGTATAACGATCGCTGACTGGGTAATCCCAGACAGCAAATTGTGACCTTTCGTATTCACTAATCGAGTCATCCAACGATAATGCTTTCCAAATTCTGTACAAATAAACAAACGAAAGTAAAATTCAAAGTAAATCACAAATTGATTCTTAACGGTTAACAATGTTTGACTTTTTCATTGTAACTGTTGTTCATTGAACAAAAGCTCAAGATTTTAAATCGATAATTTCAGTAATTTGTATTCGTAACATGTTCAACTATTGATGAGCCAAGTTGAATGTTGATTAGATGATAGTAAAATGCTATTTTCAGAATCATGTAAAATGTTAAGAATGAAATAAAGAATAAATTTGCTCTGATAAGTATGAATTTCCTGATTCTTTTCATTTAGTAATGTTTACTTGAAAGTTAAAGTTTAATAAACGATGAATAGATCGCAGTTGAATCAGTCATTTTTAAAATTTTCATGGAAATTAATTTTCTGTTTGCAAACATTTGTATGCAAAATTGAGGTTAAATGTTGTTTAAAGGAAAAGTTGGTTTCAATTTTTACTCACAAAAAAAGTGAAACATTAAACGACAAAAAGTTTAACAATGCAATTAAGATGCTAATGATATTATAATGAAATTTATTTGAAAGCAAAGGTTCAACATTTAATTAGCATCATTATTGTTCACAGATCTGAATCTAAGTTTTTAAATAAATTGAATAAAAGTCAATATTGAATGAACCTTAAACTGAGCAATAAATGAAAGTGCAAATGTTTATATTCCCTGGCAATTAAATTACCAATAATCTCATTTAAAATCTAAACATAGTTTGAAAACAGAGGCTAAACATGATCAAGTTAAGGTTGATTACTTACTCGTAATATCGATCCTCATTTTCAGCAAGCAACCTGAAATATTCATCAGTAAAGGTATCTTTGATTCCAGTGTATCTAACCTTGTACTGTTTCGACATTTGAGCAAAAGTGTCAATGTTTTTGTCCAATCTGGAGACAGTCAGGAAAGCGGCTAAATTGGCCGTGTAAGAAGCAACCAAGATGAAGCCAAAGAGCCACCAAGTAGCAGCCAAGAGACGACCTGATAGACCTGAAGGTGCTTCACCTCCGCCTTGAGGAGTTAATGATATTAGGCAAAACCAGAATGACTCTTTTAGGTTGAATCTTTTGTCATTTGTAGAGCAACCTTTTTCGTTATCATCAACATTATCAGTTTCTTGATCAATAATAATTTCACTGTCTAAGTGTTGACTTTCTTCGATTGTCTCGTTATCATCTTCATGGTCCTTGAGTTCACGGATCTTGCTAAAGTGCTTGCCAACTGTGTTTTTCCTCTCATCAGGCTTCATCCTTTTCTCATCTTTTGCTTTTGCCTGCAATTTTCTTCTCTTTGGATTGTAAAAATCAAATATTGACATGATTATGGAGGTTACAAAGTAAGAGATGAAAACGGAATACCAAACATCAGTTTCCAACACATTGATAAAGACAAACGTGAAATCCTGTGCGGAAGGTCTTTTCATCATTACTGAAAGTCCAACCATATCAAATATGGGTTCGGTAAAGTCCATGATTGATTCACGACCAGAAGTGACTGCCATTCCAATCAAACCGAAATCAGCTTCATTCTTTCCCAAAAGTTGAAAGGAAAAAACAAAATGTCAAGAGTTCAATTAGAATAATTAAATTGTCGATCAATTTTCTATCGTAATCAAATTTCTTTTTCTCATTAACTCATTCAACAGAAAATTTGAAAAAGTATTATCGAAAACAGTTTAATGATCGATTAAATCTAATAATAATATTGTCAGGCAAAAGCTTCTGGAGCAACAGTTTTTTTCAAATAACCTTTACCGACTATTAATAAGTATTGTAAGCTTTGCAAATAACTGTGATTCAATTTCAAAATAACGAAATTCATTTCAATCTTTCTGAATATTTCTAAATATTGAAACACGATAACTTGCTCTAAAAATTTGTTCTTCATTCAGTTTGAAGTTTCTTTGCATAATCGAGCGAAAAAAATTGAATTTATATGAAAAGATATTGAGAAAATGGAGCAAACAATTGATTTAAAAGTTATTCTTAGGATTGAAATCGTCACAGGCTGGAAACTTAGGCTTACAGATGCAAATTGTTGAGCTGCACCAGTCCATGTGATCTCAGGAGAATCTTCATCCGACTGAGCAATGCCATACAAACCATCAGGAACTTCGGTTATCTGGTAAACGGGAAACTTGAAGCCATAACGATTTTTAAGATGATTAAAGATGTCGATATAAAATCCATAATAGGCGTCGTTGTTACTTGAATTGGTTAACTTTTTCATTACGAATGGAGGTTGCTGTGAGAGTTACAAGAAAAGAAACATTAAATCGATTGAAAATTGAAGTTGATTAAATTTTCAGCTTCAGATGCTTTCTTTTCAACATTTAAATCTGGTTGAATCCGTAAAGATGCAATTAACTGTTATAATGTGTTATGAAAGAAGACAAAAGGTTGAAATCTTTAGAAACGATGGAACCTTTTGTTGCAACAATAATATTTTTACCGAAGAAACATGAGGATTCACTGGTTTATACATATTATGAGCTTAGCGATGAATGAAATCTGTTGAATAGTGTAACATTCAAAGTTTACTCCTACTCATTAATAAATCCTATTTTACAAGTATTACAAGTAAGGATTGGAAAAGTTTGCTTGCAGGAAAAATTTGAAATTAAACTTGCTTAGAATGTTAAAAACTATTTTTCAAACAATAAGATATTTGTATAAAGAACATTGATATTCAAAGGCATCGTTCAAGATCTGATGCGTACAAGAAGAGTGATCATTGTTTGGTCGATCCATTGAAACAAAGATTAATCAAATTGAGAATCTTTTACCTTCTATCTTATATTATTATTAATTCGTATTTAGCTTTGAGCAATGAGCTCCTAGCTCAAAATTTTACAGTGAATAATGTAAACATCGCATTGGTGTGTTTGCTCAACGGGATATGAGTCCATCAGTGCTATTGAAAAAGTTGCTTCGAGCTGCAGTTTACGAACAAATCGAGATAAAAGTTTCGACTTCGATCGGCTTTAATTCATCAATGCAAACAGATTTTTCAACGAAACTCATTCGGCTAATAATGCTTCCCATTCCCAATCCAAAAATGCATTTATTTTAATGAATGAAATTTTCCTTTTCTGTATAACAGACCAATTCGATCTTCGATTAAAACTGACCGCTCTCAGCTAACGTAATAGTTAGGGGGCTGAAACTTATTATTCTTGCCTAAAAGTTGTTTATATACATCAGTACACAAACCTTTTTTTCAAATAGACGATGGTTCTCTTGATTTCGGCCATTTGCCTCCAAACTTCGAATCTCGATATCTTGAGAATGAAAGTGCCTAAAATCATCATATTTCGACTAATCATTAGATATGGTTATGAGCTAGAATGTGCTGAAATTTTAGATCATTAGAATATTCTACAGAAAAAGTTATAGCACTAATTACTTAGTTTACCAGATTTTATGCTTCATTTATGGGTAAATGGTTATTAAAACACAAATCTTATGATGTTTTAGTCTGCTTTGCAAATTCTTGCATGAATGCAATGTTTAAAAGATCATTGACAGAAACTTTGACTTGCAAGTTGAGAGTTGAAATGTGGTGTGTTTACAGGAGCAAAAACTGAGTCCATTAATGTCACGAATTAACTTCTCTGATCAATAGTTCTCGAGAAAATCGAGGTCAAACTTTAAACTTCGAGCGGCTTTTGCTCAATTTTGGAAGCAGATTTTCGCATGAAACTCATTTTGCATATAATGATTTTGATGAGCAGCCCGAAAATGCATTTATTTTAAGGAAATAAATTTTCTTTTTCTGTATAACACATAAATTCGATTTTCGATTAAAACTGACCTCTCTCTGCTAACGTAATAGTTAGAGAGCTGAAACCTATTATTAGTTGCCTAAAAGTTGTTGGTATAAATCATGGATCGAAGATTTTTTTCAATTTGAAAACTGTTCTCTTGATTTAGGCCATAAGCTTCAAAACTTTGAATCTTCGATTCCTTGAGAACGAAAGGCCTAAAATCATCAGTCTTTGCCTAATCATTAGATTTTTGAACATAACATTGGAATATAGCATAGTATGACTTACATTTAATATACAAAACCATCTAAGTTAATTCGAGTGATTTCATAGACCATACAATTTTCTCATTGACTTTTCTCACTCCACGTACATCAACCTTATAAAATACTGCATATTTGATGTTGAGGAAGATCGTTACAAAAGTGATAGAATTGCAATTTCACATCCTAAAAACAGCAACAAGAACTCAATTTACATATTCATGGACGATTTTAATATGTTTATTAGTTTTAATAAGCTTGCAAATTTACTGAAACGATCAAATATTTGCTGGTAAAAGATCTAACTCTTCAAAGTGAAATGATTTCAATGTAAAACTTTATTCTCTTTTTGGTTTAAAATGTCTTTCGGTATTGTTTTTCATCATTGAATTAGTCTGGCTTTGTTTATAATCAATATAAAAGCATCAATATTTCTGAAGAAACAGAAGAGTTGAAAAATTTATTCAATGTAAATAAAGTATCGAATTGCTTACCAGAATTGTTACAACTCTTAAAAAAGGTTCTTTTGATTCCAATATTGGTGAAGTAAAATAGACATTTCCCTTCGATTGACTCATATCCATGTAACCAATTACTTTCGATTCGTATTTATTGAATAATTTAGTCTTCTTGGTGAGTTTCATTGATAACGATTGGTACATAATATTGCATCTCAAATTGCCTTCTAATTGATTATCCATTTCAATGTTGTTCATTATCCAATCACCATAACGCCCCATGTAATTGCAAGATTGAATTAATGAATGTATCGAGTTGACAAATGATGACTTTGAATCATTTATAAATGTTGATCCATTAAAATGGATAAATTGTTCAACAGTTTGTTTGTGCCAATCAAGCGAATGCAATATCAAGCGAGTTAAATCATAATAGAAATAGACATCAATTGAATTTTCTGGTTCAACCAGACTGGTTAAATTGGGTTTGTACGAGTACTCGTGAAGCATTGACTGAGTGGGTTCAATGTTGATCATTTGTCCATGTTTACATGAAGTACACTTTACCTTGTTCAAGCTCTGTCCAGATAACAAACGCATTAACAGTCAATTAATATAATGTTTAATAAATGGATGAAACTATTAAAATTTAATGGTTAAATTATAATTACCTTTGTTAAAGTAAACCAAGTATAAGGTTGTCTAAATAAACCAAATCTTTGAATCTAATCGCAAGCAAAATAAGAAAACAAAAGCTTCAAATTTCCTTTAAATTGGAGTTTTTAATATCAAAAATAAAGAGACAATTCAATTCCAACGTCAACATGAATAATATTTTTTCATAACAATCTCTTCCAAATCTAAGGATGAATATTTCATCAATTTGTCTCTTCACTTTGACCAGCTTTTCAAACTTACAATGTCCAACAGTTTATTGATGGAAACTGGTTCACCAATAACCAGAATATTAGTGAAGTTACTTAGCTTTACATTATTCAATAAATTGACCAAATTTTCGTCAGAATTTACATCAAACTGATTCCAAATCAATTTAACTGATGTTGAATCAAACAATTCAAACTGATTAACCTTCAATTCTAATTGGAAACGAGACAATTTAGTAAAAGTGAAAAATTGCAATTACCAGTTTACTTACCCAATTTAGAGTCACAAAAGATGTAAACATTATCCAAGTTGTATTGATTGACGAGAGTCTCAACTGAACGAACTAAAATGTAGTTTGGTGAGCGAACAATTAGTGTATTATTTGAACATGATGAACTAATTTGTTGATCATTAATTGACACCAATTTGGTTTGGGTATTGTTCAAGTTGATGTTGTTGTTAATTGAATAGTCAAAAATTAAATCAAATTGCTGGTCACATGGATAATCATCTTTCATCACAACCAAGGAAACCTCATTTGGTTCAATCGTTTTATAATCAATCAAAGCTTGTTCAACAATTGAAACAATTAGCCGATCATTTGGGTTCACAATTAAACCTGTTGATAAGTAAATGTTAAATTGTTTTTTACAATTTGGGTTTGCACAATAAAGTAAAGGTTTTGTTACCTATTTTGGTTGAACTGGTAATCATTATTAATGAGTAAACCATTATGATATTTAATTTCATTATCATGATTATATTACAATAAATTGTATTATCTTGTCCGAAATGTAACAAGGAATCAACTTTCTCTATTGATTTACAGACTGACTTTGACAAGTTACTTATATTGGGATAAATTTTTGATTCATTTTTAGATTAACTTGAGATTCAACCAGATTGATCCTTCAAATCAATACAATTCATTAAAATTTACTCATCTAGTACAATAATATTGCTTTTTCAATTTTCAATCAACGAACTTTTTCTCATTATTTCTCTTTCGTTCATTAGATGTTTCAAAATCAGATTCATGTAATACTGATAATTATTTGTTGGATAATCGATACTTTTGTCACAATTATCTGTCAATTAATATATTTTAGTGTATTGATTGTGTTATAATATATCAATCTCCTCGGATGGTATTCATTGGAATACATTTTATTAAAAGGTTCATTTGATATTTTAAAAATTTATCACTCCAAGAGTTTTACAATGAATTATTTGTTATCAAAGTTGAAATTATATTGGATTTAATCGAAGTTTATAACGAAAAAAAGGTTGAAACTTAATGAAAATGAGCTTTAATTGCTCGAAAGAAAATCACAATTTCTCAGAAATTAAAAATAGATTTATTCCAATTTTCGATTATCACAAGAAGCCAGTGTAAAATCATTGACTTTCGAGGGTAATTTATATTGCTATTGCATGGTTATCTCAATATGAAGTGCAACCCTTAGATAAAGCAACTTGGGTCTCAGATTTAAGCTCTTGTCATCTTAATAACCCATTCTTGGTGTAAATTACTTGTCACAACTATTGATATTAATATTTAAACATTAATTCAATCTTAATTCAAATTAATTCAAATAATCACTTTGATTTTAGCACAAGGTTTTCGAGCTCAAGGTCATTCCATGATAAATCTTTATTAACATGTGTGAACTTGCTATTTCATGCTCACTACACGGATGCGAGCTATCATTAGATCACAAAAGCTTAGCGAGTGCAGATAAGTTTCAAGATAACTAAGTATTGAGTGGCTATAAAGATCTATTATTTTATAAAGGAATCAATCATTAAGTGGAAGAATATGGAAACTAGATGTTGATTGAATTGCATCATTAGTCTCTCGATGAATCAATTCCAATGAGTCTAGTCTAATTCACTTTCAAACATGGTACTTGAAAGTTATTGTGGTTACAATCCATGGGTGAGTTAATTCATTCAATTCATCGGAGTAAATCAAATGTAACTCTTCGTTTATTTATCCATTTACAGGATTTGGTTGAACAATGGAACTCGAATTCATTCGTAATCTCACCATGCTTCACTGATACCTTTTTACTTTGGATTACTTGGTTCTACCTTTACCTTTCATTGCCCTTCTCAGTTTTTTTCCTGAAATCAAATTCCCATAAAAAGCATTCTTGGACTTTATTTATTGCTTTAAAATTGGTTGAGTATCTTTCATTCAGATATTTTGATATTTTTTTAATTTATTGTTTTTGTTTAATGAAAATTGACTTTATTTTGATTTATTTGTTTTTTTGATACAGTCAATTGGATTGGTTCTCGTTGTATCGAGCATTTACGAATTGATTGATTCTTTGATTGAATTTGAAAATGATCAACTTGTCTATCCAACTGCTTACCTAACTCCATCTATTAAGCTTTCAACTTATGTAAGTTGCTCTAACATGTGTTTCACTGTTACTCTAAATTGACCTCTTTTGGTTTTCTTTATTTCTAATTTTGATTCTAATTGTGATTTATCTAAATTTATATCTTTTAGTTACTTTCATTATGGCTAATTTGGTATCATCGGGCAAAAGGAGTCCAAACTTCAGTGTTATTAACCATTTATTGGTTTCTTATGACTATCTATTCAGTTTTCAATTTGTATACCCTTATAGTTACTTTGGAGCATCGTGTAAGTATTCAATATTTTTTATTCAATCAATTATATTTTTATACATTTTATTTGTTATTTAACAATTGGAAATTTGATTGTTTTAAAGGATGAATTCTCTTGGTCATTTGACAAAACTGATGTGGTCAACAAATCTCTACAAACTTCTGGTGTACTCTGCCAACTGTTGCTTTATTGTGTTGCTGATACGAAAAAAGAAACGCCGAGTAAAGAAAGCGAGGTAAAGATTATTTCTTTTCGTTTTAATTATCTTTCTCATGTAATTTTGTTTTCTTTCAACTCATTTCATACAGAATGCGTGTCCTTTTGAGAGCTCGCCTTTCATCAGTAAACTGTTTTTCACATGGTTTGATTCAATGGCCATTCGAGGCTTCCGTAGGACACTTTTACAATCAGACATGTGGAGCTTGAGGGGACCAAACACCGCACCAGTTATTGAAAAGAAGATCACTTCTGTTGAGGCAAAACTTCGTTTAAAAGACCAGAGAACAGACATTTTGAAAATTCTGGTAAAATCGTTTTGGCCCACTTTCCTTCTTGGCGCTGTATGCAAATTTTGCTCAACTTTACTTATCTTTGCTGGCCCACAATTAATGGATGCTTTGATAGCATTTGTCATCTCCGATCACCCGGTAGGGAGAGGCTATATTATCGCAGCTGCTATGTTCATTTCTTCACTTATGCAATCAATTCTAGAATCTCAAAGCGAATTTTGGACGCAAGTAGTAGTGATACGAATGAAAGCAACACTCTTCTCGATTATTTATAAAAAAGTAAGACAAAACACACTAATCTACATAATCTAATAAGCTGCTAAACTAATTATTTATTGCAATTGAAAATTAACAGAACATCAAGCTTTCAAGTCATGGAAAACGTGATTACACTACTGGTGAAATTGTCAACATAATGGCGGTTGATGCTCAACGAGTCATTGACTATTTTGGTATCGTTAACATTATATGGTCTGCCCCACTTCAACTGGCGATCACCATATACTTGCTTTGGAGAAAGTTGGGTGTTTCATCGTTCATTGGCCTATCAGTCATATTACTTCTTGTCCCTTACAATGGTTTCATTGCAAGTCGATTCCAAGCATGTCAAGTCGCTCTGATGAAAGAAAAGGATTCTCGATCAAAATTAGTTTCAGAAGTTTTAAATGGAATGAAAGTCTTGAAATTATATGCTTGGGAAGGCGCTTTTGGTGACATTGTTGCGTCAATTAGAAAAAATGAAATTAAATTTTTGAGAGCTCAGGCGCTTTGGATGGGAGGAATCACGTTTTCTTTTGCTTCTTTATCTTTTCTGGTAAGTACATTTATACCTAAGATTTTGATTAATTCTAAGTGCTTTCTTTATTTATAACTAGATTACGGTAGTTTCCTTCGCATCCTATGTGTTGATTGATAAAAATCATATTCTTGATGCAAATAAAGCTTTTGTATCAATAACACTGATAAATACTCTAACTATGCCATTAAATTATCTCCCAATCGTATTAACCTTCGGAGCAAGTGTAAGTATGAAGTGTCTTGTTTGCTTGTAGTTTGTCTTACTTTTAATTTCACTGAACATTTCATTTTGCAGTTTTTGGTATCGGTGAAAAGGATAAATAAATTTCTCGCGGGAGATGAACTCGATACTGAATCCATTAATCATAATCCTGATTCAACTAATCCAATACTAGTAAAGGATGCAACCTTTTCTTGGTCTCGTGATGAAGAACCAACCCTTAAAGATATAAACATACAAGTTGAGAAGCAAAAATTGGTTGCTGTTGTCGGTGTTGTTGGTTCTGGTAAATCTACTCTACTGTCTGCTATTCTAGGTGATTTGTACAAGAAACATGGCACTGTAAATGTAGATGGCAAAGTTGCTTATGTACCCCAATCATCTTGGATACAAAATGCAACAGTTCGAGACAATATTTTGTTTGAGTCACCCTTTGTTCAAGAAAAATACGATCAAGTTATTGAAGCCTGTGCGTTGACACCTGACTTGAAGATATTAGCAGGAGGCGACTTGACTGAAATTGGTGAGAAAGGAATTAATTTATCCGGTGGACAAAAACAACGTGTTTCCATTGCTCGTGCAGTCTACTCAGATTCAGATATTTACCTTTTGGATGATCCACTCTCAGCTGTCGATGCTCATGTTGCTAAACATTTATTTGAAAAAGTAATTGGAAACAAAGGTTTACTTAAAAATAAGACTCGACTTTTGGTCACTCACAGAATCACATTCTTACCGCAAGCAGATGAAATAATTGTCTTGAGGGATGGAAAAATCTACGAAAGTGGAACTTTTAGTGAACTGATGGCTAAAAAGGGTGAATTTTTCAACTTCATTGTTCAATATCAGGTTGAACAAGAAGATGAGTTGGATTCTGAAGACGAAAGTTTTGTTAAAGCTTTAGAGCTTGACCAAAGGCTATCACTCACCCGATCCATATCTTCTGCTGAGTCAGAGACTTCAGCCATTCGTCGTCGAGCATCACACACTAGGCAAAGTCAAAGTAAAAGTAAAAAATCAAGAGCAACATCGAAAAATGACGCGAAAGAAGACAAATTCAAACTGATTGAAGCTGAAACTGCCGAAACTAGCTCAGTTAGTTCCAAGGTTTATTTTGATTATATCAAGGCCATTGGTTGGAAAAACTGTTCTGTCATATTATTATTTTTCACCATTTTCAGTGGTTTCATTTTAGCCTCAAGTCTATGGTTGACAGATTGGGCTGATGACTATTTAAATCCTCTCAACTACCATAATACAGCTTTACGAAATAAACGATTAATAGTTTACGCTATATTGGGCACTTTTCAAACAATTTTCATCTTGGCCAGTACATTGGTGCTGTGTATCGCTGTTGTCGAAGGTTCACGGTGGATTCATGAACAAATGTTGTCACGTTTAATTCGAGCACCAATGTCATTCTTTGATTCCACACCTACAGGACGGATTTTGAACAGATTCACTAAAGATATCGATTTAGCTGATACAGCAATGAGCTTTAGTATACAGCAACTTCTGATCAGAGTATTTAGTTCGGTTACTGCAGTTATAATTATAATCAAGGAAACACCATTCTTGGTAATAATGATCATTATTCTTGCTTTGGTTTATATTTTGATTCAGGTATTGATATTTGATTTCCTCATTTAAAACCGTTTGTTAAATGTTCACATCATTAATGATTAATTTTTCTTCTTGCTCAGAAAATATACATCGCAAGTTCACGACAATTAAGGCGAATCGATGGAGTTACTCGTTCACCCATATTCTCACATTATACTGAAACAGTTACAGGTTCAACTTCAATCAGAGCTTATCAAGCAACAGATCGATTCTCGGAAAAATTATTCAAATTGGTTGATGTAAACAACAGTGCATCTATGGCCAATCTTGCCGCAAGTCGTTGGCTATCAGTTAGACTTGAATTACTTGGCAACATTATTGTAACATCGACTGCACTTTACGCTGTAATTGGCCGTGGAAGCATGAGTCCTGGGAAAATAGGTCTTTCCATCAGTAATGCATCCCAAATAACTAGTATTTTGGACATGTTAGTTCGTTCATTTTCTGACCTTGAAAATAATTTAGTTTCCGTTGAGCGTTGCTTGGAATACACAAAATTGGATGCTGAGGTAAAGATGAATTTCAATTTGATTAGATACTGACTTATTGGGTCAAGCATGGAAAAATATTCTCGTATTGACACTGAAAAGCTATGATTACTTTTTCATTAATGCTTTTTAATTTGCTTACAGGCACCATGGGTCAACCCGTCTCATAGACCATCAAAAGATTGGCCTTTTGAGGGTCGAATTACATTTAACAAATATTCAACTCGATATCGACCTGGTCTCGATTTGGTATTGAGAAACATCACTTGTTGCATAGACTCTAACGAAAAGGTTGGAATTGTTGGACGAACTGGTGCAGGTAAATCATCATTGACGTTAGCTCTATTCCGTTTAATTGAACCCACTGACGGAACTATTACGATTGATGATGAAGATATAACTCGATTAGGACTTCATGATCTACGTTCACGATTAACTGTTATACCTCAAGATCCTGTGCTCTTTTCTGGTTCATTTAGAAGAAACTTTGATCCCTTGGAAATGCATACTGATAATGAAATTTACGATGCTCTTGAACAAGCAAATTTAAAAGACTTTGTAGTCTCGTTGGATAACCAACTATATTATGAAATTACTGAAGGTGGAGATAATCTGAGTGTTGGTCAGAGGCAACTTGTTTGCTTAACTCGAGCTCTGCTGCGAAAATCTAAAATTCTTGTTCTTGATGAAGCTACAGCAGCAGTAGATGTGGAAACAGACGAATTAATTCAGCAAACAATTAGAAAACAATTCAAAGATTGTACTATTGTTACGATTGCTCATCGTTTGAATACTATCATGGACTATGACAAAGTCATCGTGATGGATAAAGGGCAAATAATTGAATATGATTCTCCGGATAATCTGTTGAAAAACGACAAATCTGAGTTTTATAAGATGGCAAAAGATGCTAAACTTGTTTAATGGAAAGTTGCTTTCAAAGTTATTAACATTTTGTACAGTAATGAATTGTATTTTTCAAATTTTAACCTTTTCCTTGTGTAGCTTTTAAAATAAACTACCTCACAAGGAAAGTACACCAACCGCTCCGAAAATGTTAAACGTTTTTTGGACTTAAAATATTCTAATGGGTCAGATATGAACATTTGTCAAGCCTTTAGAATAACAAATGCTCCGTTTAAAAGTTACAGGGTTTCAAAGTATCAATTTTTGCATAGGTTAAGCCTATTTAAAGCAATATGAATCTAATCTATAATGATAAAAAATTTTACTATTTTATTATAGATTCACATTACTCGCATCGGGCACATAAACCTATGAAAAAACACCTTTGACACCCTGTAACTTTTAAACGGAGCATTTGCTATTCGAAAGGCTTGCCAAATGTTCATATCTGACCCATATGAATATTTGAAGTTCAAAAAAGTTTAAAATTTTCGGAGTGGTTGGGGTACTTCCCTTGTAAGATGAGCTTTAAAATGGTCCGTTTGATCAAAATTATCTTGTACAATAGAGTGTTTCAATTTTCGGGCTGAAGTATAACTTAAAGTAAAACTAATTTAGACGATGTGCAACATTGAAGTTATAACAGTTGGACTGAACTTGCAGTCAAGTGACGGTAAAAAATTTGCACCTCTGGCAATGTGAAAAATCCTAAATGTTTCAAAGACATAGAGATAAATTGTCCTTCGAATAGGACTGTTACTCTAACCATTGGATGACAAAAATTATATTCAAGAAATGCATTTTCAGACTCGACTTCATTCTAAGAAGCAGACATAAAAAATGAGAAACATTTCAAGTTAACTCAAGTCGAGTTCTAGTCGAACTGGTGAGTTTATTCCAACATCTCTAAATATAAAATCTTAAGGGAGGAAAACAAAATGGGTTTTAAAGATATTACATCTATTCTAACATTTGGGTGTGTTACAAAAAGCTCTTCTCATTATTGATCGTTTGCCAGGTCATAAAACTGAAATGCTACTGTTGAACCAAAACGAGGGGTTTACCAAGGTAGAATCAAAATGAATTGGGAAAATTGCCCAGAATCAGATCACTTTTGTAGTACGTTTTTCTTATGTATTTTTTATGCTGGGTTCAAAAATATAAATCATGTTTTGGTCAGATTTACCGTTCGAAGGATATTCACGAAAAAATACAGGTATTTGCGAATGGAAGAACGTAAAATATTCATGAATGAGAAGTGATATTATGTAATATAGATTTGTTTTTTAGATGATTCAGTGTGTTTGATCTTAAATTTGAAATGATGTATGGCCGGTGAAAACCCAGAATAGTTTTTTAGAATTGAAATGCGTCAGTTAGACTAGACTTACAGGCATCATTTAACCGTTGAAATAAACGTACACTTCTCAATCATATTTTGTGCAAAAATGAATTAATTTTAATCAGAAATTGTCAAGTTATGACTTTAAATGGACAAAGGCGTCAAAATTTGATTTTGCCTTAATCCAAAAACCATATATTTTTCAGCGCCATACTAGGGTTTCGAAGAATCGAAAAATGGCGAAATTTGGCCTCAAAGTTATTGTGAAAGATGTAATGCGCTTAATATAAACTAATACAGGTCAATTGGAAGGTCAAGGCCGTCTTCAAAACTAAATTTGACGCAAATTTGTTCAAAAAACGGTTTTTCAAGCTTTTAACAAAAGACTTTTTAGAAAAGAACTTCGATTTCGAATATTTCAATGAAAATGAAAGTAGTGATTTCTCTTTCTCATTTCACCAAATAAATATGTAATGTAATATAGATAATATAGCAATGTTTAAGTGACAAAATAGGAAAGAGAAACGTTGGGTTTTATTTTGCGCTCTCTCGCCACTGTCTTTTCTCTGTCTGTATTTGGTTCGTTTTGAGAGTAACAATGAATGAAGGGCTAAAACGCATCCTTTGTTGAGCTCAACGGTAAAGAACTACTTTTGCCTGGTTTCTCTTTCTTAAGTTGAAGGAAAGAAAGGATTCTTTCCTTCAGTTGATAGTTCGACTCAGAACCTGAAAAGAGTGCTTTTGTCCATTTGACAAATTGTTAATATTGAATTTAATATTAATTTAACTTGATTAAGTTCATCTATTTGACCATTAAGTTCACCTGATTGCTTATCCATTTATCTAGTATTGAACCTTGATTTTCGTCAACTTCATCCTAATCAACTTCATCTTGATCAACTTCACCTTTAACCAACACCATCTTTAACCAATACCATCTTTAACAAACATCATCTTTCACCGACATCAGCCACTGGACTAATCTCTTCACTGTTCATTCAGATTGACTTTACTATTCTAATTGATATTAAAAATTACTAATAAACCTTCCCCATACTTGACCATTTAACCTCAGAACTTGTTCAATTAACACTCTCATTCGTATTAAATTCAATTCAGTTCTGTAACCAGGATTTACTGTTCAACAAATAACCTGAAAACATTATACATATTTTTAACTAAATACATTACATATATAATAAAACTGATCGGAAAATAGGCAACTTTTGACATCCTCCTTTATTGTAAATTTATTTATTTTGTAACGATTAAGAAGCACATTAGAAATTAAACTTGAATAAAACAAAACACACTTTACCATACAAACAACATATGTTTTCTCCAGCTTTTTCCGCCATCTAGTTTCTCTAATATTAACCCATATTAAACCAATGTAAACCTACCTATCATTAAACAGGTAACCATATCAACATTTGTAAACATAAATTAAGTTACCAAAAACCTCACTGATCAGATTAATGTAATTTATGCCATACTTATTGTAGCCATTGACTATATTTTAAACATACCAAAACCAGCCTGTACAACCCAATGCTCCATAGGGACATATATATGAAGGAAACCTAAAATGATCAGTTGAATAAAGTTCAATTTCAAGTTAACCCTTTCTCTCCAGTGCTGCCCTCTCTCGACACCCATAATATTCAACTAGCAAATAGTGAGTTTATGGGCTGAATCCCCTTTCTTTTCCTCTTTCTTTTCTCTTTCTTGCTCTTGACTGTTGCCCTCTCGATCAACCGTCACAATTGGCGCAGTCGACAGGATAGAGTGGCCCTCTATCGGCCCAGTTATTAACTAATCGTTCTTTTTGTTCTATTCTCTCCCCTACAGTGCAATTCATCGAGCAAGAACCCTGTTTCGACCCCTCGCTGGTTCATCCCCCTTCTTCACCTAGTAATTGGTTTGGTGGCGCTTTCTCTGGAGACGAAGACGAATCTTCCGCTTCTCAATCTGGTAATCAGCCTGGTGGTCGTATTGCAGTCTCTGGTGGAGGTCTTAGGTATAATCTTCCGCCTCGTCAGTCTGGTCCAGCTCCCTCTGTTGGTCCTATTCGTCCTCCAGTCGCTCCAGCTACAACTATAGTTCGTCCTCCGATATTCCTTGGCCCTTATCAACATTGTGGTAAATCTGTGGCTCCATCTGGTCCTAGTGTTGGTCCTTGTCGTCCTTCTACTGGCTCATCTCGTCCTCTTGGTAGTCCGATTCGTCCTCTTGGCCTCTCAAACTCTCCTGTAAAGGTTCCTGGTCCATCTTCCTCAACTTCTGTTCTTCCTCTTACTAAGAACCAGAAGAAGCATGTGCAAAAGCGTTCCTTGCAACGACATCGATTGAACGCTGAACTCACGGGTACCATCTCATCTACCCTTGAGAATCATCTGGCCAGACACAAACGCCAAGCAGAACATCGTGCAGCCGCCATATTCAAAACTGGTATCAAAGAAGCAGCCAAAGCTTCAGCAGCAGAGAACCATACACCAGCTAACTTCTTTGATTCAAGTAGCAATCACCAAGAATACAAAGACCAACTTCCTCATCGTGTCCTTTCAAGAGATTTCCTTTCTCGAGCTGAAAGTATCGCCTCTCGTGCCCTCCAATTTAACTCTCGTCTTTCTTCTTACGCTCCCACTTCCCAAGAAACTGTAAATAATCCTCGTGATTATATCCACAAAATTGTATACAAAGTTGTATTGTAAATAAGTTCAAAATGACCTATGACAGCTCGTAATTCACAAGTTGTAAGCTCAGCAACACCCGAACCCAGTACTTCAAACATCAGTCAACCCATCTTTACTCATTTCAGACTTGACAAATTCTCTGGTAACAAAGAAGAGATACGTGTGCAAACCTGGATTAAACTATATGAACAACACATCGACTCCGAACATGACACCGAACTTATCCGACAACTCATGTACTATCTTAAAGACTCCGCTTTAGAATGGTATGGTGATGAGATTGTTGGTAACCACATGCGTGATTGGAATGCCGTGAAAACTCAACTGATCAATCGTTTTGGCTGTGAAAGTCAATGCCCTCTCATTGCTGCTCAACGCATAATCCTAGGCAGAGAAGAAGATGTTGAGAAGTATTACCGCCGTAAAGTAAGACTTCTTCGACAGACCTCTTTATCTGAGTTAGAGATTATTCAGCAACTAACCGAAGGCTTACCGTTTTCATGGAGGTGAACAATGACTGCTGCACGAGCTCAATCTACTTCCGATTGGATTGAGATCGCAATGGAAACTGAGAATCATCATAAAGCTAATGAAAGACGTAAGCAAGCCTTACTCAAGAAGAAACCTGCCAAGACGCTAACCGCCGCTCCGCAGCACAACAACAGCCGCTCGAATCGCCAAATGTCACTTCGCTCGCAATGAAGTTGATTATCTTGGGTATGTCATCAGCTCCAAAGGTGTCCAGCCGTCTAAAGAGAAAATCACTACTGTTAGTGCATTTCCAGCTCCAACTAACCTCAAAGAAGTCAGACAATTCTTAGGGTTAGCCAACTACTATCGCCGCTTTATACCAAACTTCTCTTCAATAAGCAAACCTCTCACACATCTTTTACGTAAAAGTCAAGCATTCCACTGGCAAGATCCACCCCAACGAGCTTTCCAAACCTTGAAAGACAAACTCACCACTCAACCTGTTCTCGCTATCTACAACAAAGATAAGCCTTGCACATTATATACTGACGCTTCTAAGATTGGCATAGGAGCAACACTCGTTCAGACCGATGATTCAGGTATTGAACACCCTATTGCCTACTATTCAAAGAACACCAAGGAAATTACACCGTATTTGAACTAGAATGTTTAGCAGTTGTCGAAGCCGTTGAACACTTCGAAGCTTACCTCAGTCTTCCATTCAAAATCATAACTGATCATAGTGCTCTCAAATGGCTTCTCACACTTAAGAAACCTAAAGGAAGACTCTACCGTTGGTCAATCAAACTTTCCACATTAACTTACGAGTTATTCCATCGTGCTGGTCGATCTCAACAACATGTTGACGCTCTTTCTCGTGCCCCTATCACTCTTCTCATCGATGCAGCTGGAATTAAACAGCATCAATCACAAACAAACTTTTCAGATATTAGACAATCTTTCAACATTGATGGTATCGTCACCGTGAAAATCAAAGGTGCCACAAGAGCAATCATACCACCATCTCTCCGTCCAAAAGTTTTACAACATTTTCATGATGAATACAGTCATCCTGGGAAAAACAAGACTGTAAAACTGATTACGCGGTTTTATTGGTGGCCCCATATGATTAACGATATCAAACTCTACGTTGACTCTTGTAAAGCTTGTCAAATGTTAAGACAACCTCACCGTCCTTCTATCGGTCAAATGATTCTTCCTTCAACAGACTTGGAACCAGGTGAACTCATAGGCCTTGACAGTATAGTCATGGGTCCTGCTGCTGGTAGTACTCGTCACAAGTACATTCAAGTCTTCATTGATCACTTCTCAAGATTCGTTTGGGCATTTCCCACTACAACAAACACTGCCGCTTCGATAGTTACTCTTCTCGATAAACTTGTTCAATCGGGCATCCGTATGAAAACAATCTTGACTGATTGCCATAAAAACTTCCAAAGTAACGCTCTTAAACAATGCTTGAAACGTCACAACATAAAGCATATCTTCTCAACTCCATACCATCCTCAAACAAATGGTATCGTAGAACGCATAAATGGAACTCTCATGGTAAAAGTCAGGACAGCTTTACAGGATCATCCACACCGCAAATGGACAACACTCCTTCCGAAGATTCTTGAGGATTACAACAGCACTCCACATGACATCACTGGTTACGCTCCTGCTTTTCTTTTCTTTGGAACGGATCCAACTCCGACCTTCACTGATAAAAAGAATGATCTCCAGGAAGCCCGTGAATTGGCCCGTACTCGGACCAAATCTGAACAGGAACGAAGGAAACTAAGACATGACGCCAAGCATCCCATATCCACATTCGATATTGGAATAAAAGTTCTCAAATAAATCCCAGATAACCATCCATCCAAAGTTAAAACTTCTCCGAAATACACAGGACCTTATTATGTTATTCATCAAGTCACAGACGTCACATACGACATTTCAGAAACTCTCTCAGGTCCAACTATTCGTGCACATTCTTCTCAACTCAAGAAGTTTGTTGATAGACACAAACTTAAAATTACAGTGGGAGAATGTAACGATTAAGAAGCACATTAGAAATTAAACTTGAATAAAACAAAACACACTTTACCATACAAACAACATATGTTTTCTCCAGCTTTTTCCGCCATCTAGTTTCTCTAATATTAACCCATATTAAACCAATGTAAACCTACCTATCATTAAACAGGTAACCATATCAACATTTGTAAACATAAATTAAGTTACCAAAAACCTCACTGATCAGATTAATGTAATTTATGCCATACTTATTGTAGCCATTGACTATATTTTAAACATACCAAAACCAGCCTGTACAACCCAATGCTCCATAGGGACATATATATGAAGGAAACCTAAAATGATCAGTTGAATAAAGTTCAATTTCAAGTTAACCCTTTCTCTCCAGTGCTGCCCTCTCTCGACACCCATAATATTCAACTAGCAAATAGTGAGTTTATGGGCTGAATCCCCTTTCTTTTCCTCTTTCTTTTCTCTTTCTTGCTCTTGACTGTTGCCCTCTCGATCAACCGTCACAATTTAAACATCAAATTTGATTTGGCCAAGTAAAAATAGATGAGTTCTCTTAGATAAATAGGTAACAGGCATTCAAACTATTAGTAACACTCATCTATTAGGGTGGGTGGGTGATGGTACCCCTAGACATTAAGATTTTATTGAAATTTCTTCTAATTGAAATAGTCGCCAGAGGCACTTATACACTTTTGATACCGCTCGGGAAATTGTGCAAATCCGACCGCAAACCAGCTAGCGGGCTGATTTTCAAAATATGACTCAACTTCCGCCTTAAACTCGTCAATTGACCCGAATCTTCGGCCTCGCGTGTATCTTTTTAAATTTGAGGATAAATAAAAGTCACTTGGGGCCAGATCAGGGGAATATGGAGGATGCATCATGGTGTGCCAACCCAATTCCTTAATTAGTGCCATTGTTTCCTTAGCTTTGTGCGGACGGGCATTGTCTTGAAGAAACAAAGGATTTGGCCTGATCCTGAATGACGCTGTCACACAATTTCATTCACTTCCACCAATTGTTGACGGTACACCTCTCTTGTGATAGTCGATCCATCATCCATCTAAAGAATTTTGCTAATGCCTTGGCTGTCCTAAAAAACGCTGGCCATCACTGTTTTGTCTCTCGAAGAAGAGGTTGGGCGTTTCGACAGCTCCTCACGACTTTGTACCCACTCCAAAGATTCTGTTCTGGACAGCGGATCGTACAGTGGTATCCATGTTTCGTCCATGGTAAAAATGTATTTGAGAAACGCATTTGAGCTTGATGCTTATAATGGAAGAATTCATTGCTAATCAATATTTTCGAGACTTGAGCTGGCTGTACTTTCTTGCTCTGCATTGTGATAATGGTAATCAGCGAAAAAACATTTTTGGCACAAACATTTCCTGCACCGAAACCAAGAACATTTGATGAATGTAACTTTTGCATTGTAAGCCTCGCAAATATAATTGTTGAAATTGAAACGAATTTCATCGAGACCTTCGAATACAGCAATATCAACGGTGAATCCACCTTTCGACCATGCATATTTAAACATTTTATTAAAAAGAGGAGTTTGAAATTGATTCAATATCAAGGAATTAATTTTGATGATGTTATTCCGTTTATGCAAAATAAGATTGATTTGATCTTGTAAAATTATTTCCTGGAATTTTTTGATAATAGATTTCCATTGCCTGAAGCAGTACAAGTCTAACAGTTGCATAAAACCGGTTGCTCCAGCTGGTATAGTGAAAGTTTTTATGTTTTTTCATTCCACTCTGTATAAATCTTCATTTTTTTGTCCTGTCCATGAATCGATCATCACAAAAGAGGAATTAGCAACGGATGGCGAATAAACATCCGTTATGAATTGTCGCATCAACGATGTACTCATTTTACCAGATGAAGAGCAACAAATGAAGAGATTTGTAGGTTGGAATAACTTCTCTCTAACTGTTGGACCAAATTCACCGTTTCGTTCTTTCAAACAAATCAAAGCTTTTGCACCCATTTTTCCATCCATAGAAAGGAAAGGCATGATTGTATAAGAATGAGTCCTGGCGTTTGAACTCCTGATCAAACCAACTTTTGATGATCTTTTTCACCTTGGTGTGACAATGTTCTTGCTGTATGAAACTCATAGGCGATCCCTGATTGGTCAGCATTGTAAACTTGTGCATCTCCAATATTATTTTCACGCTTGTATTCTTCTAATTCGATGATCATAGCAGTTTCATTTGCCTGGATTGATTCAATATTTTCAGTGTTAGTTTTTGTAACAAACTTTATTATTCTTCGAGACACAATTTTATTGTTTCTTTTGAACCTGGCGATCCAACTATCACTGGCTTTGAAATCTTCCAGATTCACCGATCTAGATTCAGCAATAGCCCAAGCTTTTGATACATTATGGATAGTTATTCCAGCTATTCTTCATTGTTTGTATTTGCCAAAAATAGCAACGGTTCCTTGTTTCATTTTCACATTTCTGGTTCCTTGCTGTTGGTAATACTCTCTAAATCTTTG